CTCAGTGGCCTTCTCTCACGACTCAACACGGCTGGCGTCAGCGTCGTACGACCGTACAGTCAAGATCTGGGATGCAAGCAGCAGCGTGTGCCTGCAGACGCTCAACGTTGGCACGACGCTCAACGTTGGCACGACGCTCAACAACATGTTATTTGACACTACTGGTTTCTATCTTCACACTAGTATTGGTACTATCAATATTAGTGTAACACCATCAGTTTTAAGTACTTCTATAGAGCCTCGGAATCCGAGATATGAAGGCCTAGCGTTGAGTTCAGATAGGGTATGGATAACACATAATTCTGAGAAGCTAGTATGGCTGCCATCAGAGTATCGGCCATCATGTTCGGCAGTGTCAGAGAAGGCAATTGGCATTGGTGTCGGATCTGGAGGAGTCTGGATATATAAGAGTTTGCTTGATATATCTTAGAGTATTCTTATTTTCTTTTTTATCTCTATTTTATAGAGGGGGCCGGGGATCCAGGTGAATATATAGCTTCATTTGCCACAGCAAAGCTTCGAGCATCTTCTAATTAGCTAACTTATAGAACTATATGTTGAAGTTTTGCCACTTAAACGTTAGTAGACGTAGATAAACGCATCGGTTACGCTAGCAGGGAGGACGGCCGACCCGCTCCAGTTATAGGGTTGTGAGATGGCGATTCTGTAGGTGTTCTTAGATAGTTGAGTTGGTTAACTGGAGGCATGGCTAAGTTGAATTGCAAGGCTAGGGTTGACAGCCATACAGCTATAGGTCTAACAGCCACTGTAAGTAAATTACATAGTAATAATTACGTAGGCTGTTTCGCACTAGCCGGGATTATAATTGCTTCTGTTAGAGGTACCGATCGGCGTGGCAACTTTAAATGAATTTGCGTGCAATAGCAGCTACAAGGCTGATAACAACTTCCTAGTATAGTAGTGAGGCTCTAAGGCTCGGATAAGGCCCTTTTATGAGTATCAGAAGTGATAAGAGCTCGATAGTGGTGCTGTGGTAAAGGAATTCTGTTACACTATAAAAAGATGCTCTCTGCAAATTAGGCGCGAGGGCGACGATGCGACCGTAATTTTCTAGTAGGAGAGGTCCCGAGTGTTTAGGAGTGGCCACAGCAAACGACTTATATAGAACTGTGGGAAATATTAATGTGTGCACAGATTCTGAGTTGCTTGAAGTCAATGTACCCATCGGTTTTCTCGGCACGGTGGGTTTCTTGCCACGCAGGGACAGACGTTGGATGCGAGCAGGAAGGTTGATGCTTCCCACGATTATCAGATTTTGCCATAGTGCTCGCAGTGATATCGCTCCTCCTGTGTAGTCATAATTAGCTGCGAGGCCCTGAGAATCGAATGCCCGAGACGTCGGATTGGAGAGACCCATACCTCTTTACCTTACCGATTTGAGAAGATCAAGTCACTCGAATCGCAATGTTTTTCACACTCCTAGAGAAAGCCCCGGATGTCATACTCAACCCTCGCCGTCACTTATCTCCTCATCTCCATCATCTTCATCCACAACAGCCATGACATCCTCCTCACGCCTTGCCTGTACACGCGCCGCATTACTAGCCCCCACAGCCTTTACGATATCATCCACTCCAGATGCATCCTCTTGCGCTCTCTTAATGATAACCTTAGCCCTCCGAATAACTTCATGCTCGGCCTTCCTAATCGTCCCCGAAACCCGCACAACGCGCACAACGCAGGGCTGTGCTATTGGATCTGGAAGCTGTGTCATGAAGCTCAACGCAGCCCATACGAGCTGACAATGTGCGCGTGGGGTTCGGATGATGGCGGTGGACGTGGCGGGGGAGAGGTAGTTTACTGTAGTAATGCTTTAGCATATATTCTATTTTCGGTAGCCACTAGATTCTCGTACTTCTAAGACTCGGAGAGACAACTCCTGCGCCATAGTCGCCAAACAGCTCCGCGACGCCTTGTCTTATAGCTTTCAATAGAAGGGGAGCATCGAGTCGATCAGAGGTTGGCTGGTTGAATTGGAGGACTTGCGACAGCGATTCTTTTGAGGAAGTCGCGGTCGGGGCGCCGGGGTAGAGAAAAGTGGCGACCAGGTATCTATGCTTTACTCTCACCATGGCGACCGGAGGTTGTGCAGGTCCAGTAGAAGTGTGGCTTGTGGAAAATTAATCTGGGGTTGATCGATGCAGGTCCGCACGCTACTGACTCATTGGGCTTAGCCGCAGGTGACGTATCAAATCCTCGGACTGAGCTCTCATGCTCCTTCAACACCACACGCATCACTACATCTCTTCATCGCGAAAATATCGAGAACCACCTCCGAAACAACTACAAACTGCCGAATAACCATCAAGCCATCACATAGTCCTTCAAGAACCCCCGACCGCCACCATGGCCTCCTCATCCTCCCAAACACCGCTGCTCTAGTACGCCTCCCCTCAAGCTCCATCCCCCCCCATTAACTACCACTCACCACCCACCGCAGCTCCTGCATCGCCCACAACAGCACAATCCTCACCGAGCATGCCGCCTCGGCCACCTCCAACACCTCCTCGCTCGCCTCGCTCATCCTGCCCAAAATCACCCACGCCGCGCCCCAGAAGCTCACCTACACGCACGGCGCCTACTTCATCCACTACATCGCCTCGGCCGCCTCGGAGCACCCGGACGCGCCCTCGGCCGGCGGCCTGACCTACCTCGTGATCGCGGAAAGCGGGCTCGGCCGGCGGATCCCCTTCGGCTTCCTCGTCAGCATCAAGCAGCGGTTCCTGGAGGAGTTCAAAGAAACCGCGACCGACTTTGCGCGCCTGCCGGCGTACGGCTGCGCGGCGTTCAACGGCACGCTGAAGCGGCTGATGGTCGAGCAGGGCACGACGGACGCCGGCAAGGCGGATGCGCTGCGCACGGTGCAGAGCGAGATCTCGGGCGTGCGCGAGATCATGACGGAGAACATTGAGCGCGTGCTGGAGCGGGGCGAGCGCATCGATTTGCTAGTGGACAAGACGGATCGGCTGGGGAGCTCGGCGCAGGACTTTCGCGTGCGGAGCAGGGGGTTGAGGAGGAGGATGTGGTGGAAGAATGTGAGGTTGATGGCGTTGTTGGTGGTTGTGGTGTTGTTTTTGATTTATTTGTTTGTCGGGTTTGGGTGTGGGTTACCTGGTGAGTGGAACCTTTTTTTTTTTTTTTTTGATCCATGGGAGAGAGGAAGGGAGTAGCACGGCGAGCAGAGATGCGCTGTGGAAGTCCTCAAAACATCTGCTAGAAGGCGTCAGTCGTCGCCCCATCCCGGCATCCAATTCCCTTCCCCTCCTACTATCCTTCAATCGAGCCACTGCTAACAAGCTCACAGGCTGGTCACGATGCCTCCACCATTAGTCCAATCCATCACAATACCCCAATACTCAGACCAAGGGCTCTCCGGTGTAACCTAACAAGGCGTTACGGCTTCAATTCCTTATTCATTTCCCCGAGTGTATATACCTCAGTATACAAATGTACTACTAATGCACAAAAATCCAACCAATAAGACAAAATGCTACTCCGCACGCGCGCCAGTGATATGCGGGGTATACGTCAAAGAAAAAAAACGGAATAGCTTCCCCCCACACCTCATTACAAGTAGATTCATACACGATATTAATACTTCTCTGAACACAAGGTACTCCACCACCCGATACCCTCCGCCTATCCGATGCGGTCGGATAGATGCAAGAGAAAAAAAAAACGATATTGGTTCTAGTCTAAATGATGCTCTGCCCTGCCTTGCCGGCTTTTTTGGGATCTGATCTGTTATGTTTCCATGCAATGCAAAACACCCTGACTCCGAATGAAACAATCTTTCAATTTGACTTTTTTCCCGAAATCTCAGCCACACACAACAAACTTTTTAGGGAAATGACCTCTTAATCCATGCGCCCAGGGTATGCCGATTGTTGTAAACCGTATCGATCAGCAATCTCTACTGCGCCATCACAAGCGCCAGCAGCGCCATACGGCAGTACAGCCCATATCTCATCTAAGCAAATTTCCCGTCAGTTAGCATTCCATCTTCCCCGGTCCTCCCAGGGTTAACGCTCAAGAGACTCACCTGTCTAAAATACGCCGCCCTTGGATCAAAATCAACCTCCTCATGGATCTCGTTATTCCGCGGCAGCGGATGCATAATCACCATACTGCTCTTCGCCGCCTTCATAACCTTATTATCGACCACATACGAATCCTTGACCGCCTCGTAATGCGCCAGATCCGGGAAGCGCTCCTTCTGCACACGCGTGCAGTACAGCACGTCGCTGCGCGCGACGATCTCGGGCGTGAGCGCCGTGCTCTCGAGGAGCAGCTGGCCACGTGATTTCAGCAGCTCGCGGACAGCGGCGGGGAGCGCGAGCGTGGCGGGCGCGACGAGCTGGATGTTGACGGCGTAGTGCTTGAGCAGCTCGCAGAGGGAGTGCACGGTGCGGCCGTAGCGCAGGTCGCCGACGAAGGTGATGGTTAGGCCGTTGACGGTGCCGAGCTCCTCGCGGATGGTGAAGAGGTCGAGGAAGGCTTGCGTCGGGTGCTCGCGCGCGCCGTTGCCCGCGTTGATGATGGGCACGTTGGAGAACTTCGCCGCCGTGTCGGCCGAGTCCTCGGACGGGTGGCGCAGCACGATGGCGTCGCTGTAGCAGCCCAGGGTGCGGATCGTGTCGGCGAGCGACTCGCCTTTGTTGGTGGACGACATGACTTCGTTGATGACGACGACTTCGCCGCCGAGGCGCTTCATGGCTGTGTCGAAGGAGGCGGAGGTGCGGGTCGAGGGCTCGAAGAACATGGTGCAGAGCACGCGGCCTTTGAGAACGTCGAGGCAGCCGTGGCGTTGGGCACCCAGACGCATCTCTTGGGCAACTGTGAAAAGAAGATGGAGGTCGCTACGTGAAAATTGCTGGACGGACAAAATGTGCTTCCGCTTGAAAGGCGATTTAGCGAGAAGTTGGGCCAGGGATGGGGACGTATTTGGTGAAGTGAGTGTCATTGGCATAGATGTATCTTCGTGAGCTCCTGGGGCAGGTACAAATTCCTGATAGTCAACCTTGCTGATCTCGAGATCGTAATGGCGAGCCATGGCTTCGATGAGAAGCTTCGCGTTCTTGACGTTGGTGACCAATGGAGTCTGGTAGTCTACCGCCATACGCCGCGTCTGGTAGCCCTTGCTCATGTAGTTAGCAGGTCTCCGGTACCGGTTGTTGGATGGCAAGTTGATGTAAAGGTCGATCAGGTTGTTAGCCAGATGCTGTGTTAGGGAGTACTTTGACTTCTGATCATTGTCCTGGTAATGGTTTCCTAGAACTTCCAAGAACTTGACAGGGATGCCGTGCTCTTGGATGTAGTCCGCAGTACCAGCTGTCGCAAAGAGATTGAACCCTAGCTTGTGAAGTGACTCGATGGATGGAAGCATTTCTAGCTTATCCTTAAAAGAGCCGATGGATAGTAGAATGTTCTTCCTGGGAAGCTTGAAGCCAGTCGATAGGAGCGCTTTGATATACGCCTCGTATTTCGTACGACCAAAGCAAGCAACTTCGCCCGTGGATGCCATCTCAACGCCAAGCACGGGATCTGCGCCGGACAGCCTCGAGAATGAGAATTGAGGCACCTTCACTCCTACATAATCGGCAGGTATGTTGACTGGCGGATACTCTTCAAGGTGTAGGCCAGCCATAGCCTTGGTCGCCATCTCGATGAGATCAACACCCATGACCTTGGAGACAAACGGGAAAGATCTCGAGGCGCGCACATTGCATTCAATGACCTTGATCTCATTGTCCTTTGCGATGAACTGTATATTAAAAGGCCCGGTGATGTCTAAAGCATTTCCAATCTTCCGGGTGGCATCCTCGATTCGTCTTACTGTCTCCTGGTCCAAATCCTGCGGCGGCAAAATCAACGTGGCATCGCCTGAGTGTACTCCGGCGTTCTCGACATGCTCAGAGATGAAATGTCCAATCATCTTGCCGTTACGAGCAACGGCATCCATCTCGATCTCTTTGGCGTTCTCGATGTATTTGGTAATCACCACAGGATGCTCCTTTGACACATCGACAGCTTGCGCGAGGTAGTTCGCGAGGTCGTCCTTGGAATACACGGTATTCATGGCAGCTCCAGAGAGAACGTAGGAGGGTCGAACGAGCACTGGATAGGAAACCCTGTTGCAGAACTCAATGGCTTCGTCAATACTTGTAAGTTCCTTCCAGGTAGGTTGATCGACGGCGATTCTGTCAAGCATACGAGAGAACTTATAGCGATTCTCTGCCGTATCGATCATCTCCGGAGAAGTTCCCAGAATCTTGACGTTGAGTCGGTGTAGCGGTAGAGCAATGTTGTTTGGGGTTTGGCCTCCCATGGAAAGGATGACACCACTGGAATTCTCCATTGTGTAGATGTCGAGGACCGTCTCCAAATTTATATTTTCGAAGTAGAGTCGATCGGCTTCGTCGTAATCTGTGGATACCCTGGGCACAACATCAGTAAAATTTCACCGAGAGTATGGGGAGGTATAACAAACGTCTCTGGATTGTAACTTTAGGTAGAAATGCACATGTTAGCGAGTTCTTGTAAAGAATGGGCTTTTAATAACAGATACGGAACCTCTAGTGTCAGTTGTCCTTGAGTGTTAGTCCAGTTCAACACCGTCTGAGGTGGCCTGGTAAGCTATCAGACTTGCCAAAACTGTCGTTTCGCAGTTTTTGATAACTTACCAGGCCACCTCAGACGGTGTTGGACTGCAGCTTCATCTTCGACGGAGTCTGACTCTAGTAAATGTTCCAGGAACCTTACTTACTTGATCATCACGGTTTTGAAACCCTGCTCACGTAGAGTCCGGATAGCTCTCACAGAACACCAGTCAAACTCCACGGATGAGCCAATTCGGTAGACTCCCGATCCGAGCACCATGATACCTCGATCTTCAAAGGAGATATCATGCTCAGTGCCATTGTATGTCAGATAGAGATAGTTGGTGAAAGCTGGGAACTCCGCCGCGACGGTATCAATCTGCTTCACCACAGGCACGATGCCTGCATCGACTCTAGCCCGCCGGACGGCAAGTTCGTTTGAGCCGAAGAATTTTGCAAGCTGTCGATCAGCATAACCAAGTTGCTTGGCCCGTTTGATGAGCGGCTTGGTAATTGATACAGTGGTGTAGGTCTCCATGAGTTTTTCGAAGTTGCTGAGGTCCTTGAGTCGACTCAAAAACCACTTGTCGATTTTGGTCATCTCCCATATCTTATCGACACTGTATCCGGAGTGCATCGCATTTGCAATAGCAAAAAGCCGCTGATCAGAAGGAGTCTGAAGCTCTTCGTCGATGGACATCAAGGCACTCGTTTCGCAGAATCCCAAGTTGTTGAGATCAATGGCACGAATGGCTTTCTGTATGGCCTCTTCGAACGTTCTGCCGATACTCATGACTTCGCCGACACTCTTCATGGAGGAGCCTAGAAGCGTTGACACTCGAGTGAACTTCTTGAGATCCCATCGGGGAATTTTGACAACGACGTAATCGAGCGAGGGTTCAAAGCAGGCGGATGTGACCTTGGTCACCGAGTTCGAGATTTCGTTCAACGGGATACCAAGTCCGAGCTTAGCTGCGATAAATGCCAGAGGGTATCCAGTAGCCTTTGAGGCGAGAGCTGAAGAACGCGACAGACGAGCGTTGACTTCAATGATACAGTACTCCCTGGAGAATGGGTTGAGTGCATACTGGATGTTGCATTCTCCAACGACACCGAGATGCCGGATAACGTTTACAGCCGTGGTTCGAAGCATGTTGTAATCCTCGTCTGAGAGTGTTTGCGAAGGAGCAACCACGATCGAATCTCCAGTGTGGATCCCCAGCGGGTCAAAATTCTCCATGTTGCAAACCGTAATGCAGTTATCGCGACAATCACGAACGACCTCGTATTCAATCTCTTTCCAGCCCTTCATACTTCTCTCGATAAGCACCTGGGGGCTTGCAGCAAAGGCTTTCTGGCAGAGATCGAGCAACTGGGCATCGTCTTCGGCGAATCCGCTGCCTAGCCCACCCAGAGCATAAGCTGCTCTGACAATTACAGGGAAGCCGATGTCTTTGACCACATGCATGGCCTCTTCTACTGAACTTGCGGAGGCTGACTTTGCACATTTCTCGCCTATCGATTCCATGCTTCGAGCAAAGAGCTCTCGGTCTTCGGTCGTGATGATAGTGTCAATAGGGGTGCCGAGGACTTTGACTCCTAGTCCATCGAATTCGTCCTTGAGTTGGATGCCCACTTGCAACGCTGTCTGGCCTCCGAATGTCACGAAGATACCATCCGGTCGGTCTCGTTGTATAACTTTCCTGACGAAATCTGCAGTGACAGGAAGGAAGTAGACCTTGTCTGCAAGGCCTTTTGACGTTTGGATGGTAGCGATATTGGGGTTGATGAGTATCGTATAGATACCCTCTTGTTTCAAAGCCTTGATTGCTTGACTTCCTGAATAGTCGAATTCGCCAGCTTGCCCAATACTCAGACCTCCACTTCCGAGCACAAGCACCTTCTTGACCTTAACTTTAGGATGAAGGCGGGCGTTTTCTTTGGCATCTCCACCTGGGAAATGAACGGGTTGTGAAAGAGCTTTGGGGGATTCAATGGTCTTTTTGATGGTGTCAATGAAGACATCAAATAGGAATTCGGTATCCCTAGGGCCTGGGGTGTGCTCTGGATGGAATTGTACACTGAAGTATGGTCGGCTTGTGTGACGAATACCCTCATTACTTCCATCATTAGCATTGACGAAAACTTCCTCCCAACCCTGAGGCAATGTCTTTGCGTCGACGGCATATCCGTGATTCTGTGAGGTAATGTAGCATCGCCCATTGAGGAGATTTGTGCAAGGAATGTTGTGCCCTCGGTTTCCAAACTTCATTTTCAGGGTCTGAGCTCCGGCTGCACGAGCAAGCAATTGATGCCCCAGACAGATTCCGAAGATAGGGGTAGCCGCTTGTTCCATGGCAGCTGATATGTTTTTGACTGTCGCCTCCATCATGGCAGGATCGCCAGGTCCATTTGATATGAAGAGTCCATCGTATTCGTTGCCCGCGAGTTTTGGAAAGTCGTAATCCCAAGGCACTACTTCCACTTCCACCCCTCGCCTAACAAGGCATCGGAGCTGATTGTATTTCAACCCAACGTCGACACATACAACTCGGACGGGGCGACCAGAGGGGTGTTTGAGGGCAGTTTGCTTTGCAGGGTGGTATATTTTAGGGGCTTTTGTGGACACTGCAATTTGTGAATATCAAGGTGTGTTCAAATAGTATGTGCGAGATGATAGACTCACCTTCCGCGACTAGATTCTTGCTATTTGGATCTTCCCAGGTGACAACCTCATAGTCAGCTCGCCAATCTAAAGCTCCTGAAGCTACACCGTTTGCCAGAACGGTAGAATCGCCATTGGCAATTCGGAAGGGGGACTTTGACGAGGCAAATTTCTTCATGAGCAAACGACCAAGCATGCTGCCTTCTTCCCGAATACGCTTTGTGAGTGCTCGCGTGTCCACTCCAGTAATAGCGGGGACTCCCTGCTCTTTGAGCCAGGCGCCCAGGGACGAAGTAGCCAGATGGTGCGAGTACTCATCCCCGGCATACGCGGCCACGACTAGGCCAGCAATGTGTATTTCTTTGGCCTCGAAGTAGGCCGGAAGCTCAGTGAGAAGACTGTCCATCTTTTCCCTCGAGGGAACGCCATAATTGCCGACCAGGGGGAAAGTGATGACGAGAATTTGGCCACGGTATGAGGGATCGGTTATGGACTCGGGATAGCCCACCATGCCAGTCTGGAAGACCAATTCTCCAGCAATGCTCTTCTCAGCGCCAAAGCTCTGACCGCGGCAGACATAGCCATCCTTGAGCTCCAGGGCCATATCAGGGCCGTCGTGGGCGCGACTCGGCATGGCTGGTGGGGAGGGAATGCCTGGGGCTCAGTGAAGCCTCTCAAGCAGCAATTGCAGAGGCAAGAATTGTGGTGGAGCTGAAGCAGCTGAAGGTCGTCGAGGGAAGAAAAACTTCGAGAGCGACTAGCAATGCGGGGCCAATCGCCTGCAGCGTGGGATGCAGGGCCGAATCTCGGCCCGCGTCTGGATCTCGCCGAGTGCTGCATCCATGGATGCAATGTCCTGACGGCCAGCGACAGAGTCTTCAATTGGGAATTCCCCGGGACTTTTGCTGTGCAAGACGTGTGCACTTACTCACTCCATAGGTACGAAATCACAAAAAGCAACGAGAACTATGGGATTGATGCATGGCACGTGATGCGCAAAGGGCGGTCTGGTCCTTGGTGGTGTTGGACAGCCCTGGAGAGGACTGCAGGCGGCGGGAGGTGTCGTCAAACGATGCAGGCTGACACCCCTTGGCCCACGGCTGACTCTGCTTATTGGGCCGCCGAGAAGGCTGCCACACGTCCATCTCTGTCGTGATTCTCTCCGCCTCCCGTCTCCGCCCTCTCTCCAGGGCGTCGTGGCGATTGGTGCCGGTCCAGACGACAAGACTGGACGAAGCTTGAGGAAAGCTGCAGCGATCGCCGAACCGCACGCCCGTGGCCCTCTGATTTGAGGCTCTGTCCGCTGCACTGCACATCGGGCCATTGGATTTCGTGCTTCTCCATGATGCGCGGCATGCGCATTCAACTCCACCCGTGGCTGTCAAAGGCGCATTAGCGGAGGCTGCCTGCAGATTGCAAGGGCGGCCTGCTGCATTCGCACGCGCCCATTGGCCTGGCACGACGCGAGAAGGCAGAGCAAAATCGTGGGGAAGGGCTGGGCAGATAAGAAGCCATCCTCATGATCACCACCGACGACACGCCCTGAGGAAGCGGTGAGGCAGGTGTGTGTGCCCGGAGGAGAAGTGCGATCCCGCTGCCCTTATCACCACCATCCCCGGATCTTCTCCGCACGACCGCGTCCTTTCTTCCACGCTGCTGCAAGGAGCGAAAAGCATATGTTCGCCTCCCTCCTGCGACCTCAGCAGGCGCGTCGAGCCTCCTCGGAGCGCTCGCCCTTGCTCCAAGCCTTTCGTCGCGCCGCCCCCCGCCAAGATGCAGACAGTGCTGTTGAGGAGCCCGAGGACGAAGACAACGAGTATGCACAGGACGACGACGCCTACGACGAGGACCCAGAGAACGAGAACGAGGATGAAGACGAAGACGATGGCGATGATCGAGATGGGCCATTGCTGCCCGTCTTCTCGGAGATGCTAGGTATATTGATTTGGCCTCTACACACTTTGTTTGCGCTGCTAATACATGTTTTAGATCGCCTGCCCATCTACAGCACCACCCATTCCATACGCATAATCATCGTCCAGCGATGCGAGACAACCCTCTCGTGGGACCAGCTCCGCTCGCCCCAGGTCTCACAGTTCCTCGTCAAGCCTATCCAGCAGCAGATACGCTCCTCCCACTTTTCCCGCGCCACCTTATATGCCCTGATAGCAAATTGTCTGCAGTTCCAGAAAGAAGGCCAGCTGAATCCTGGAATCGTTGGTGTCAGCAAGACCAGGGCCATGATATGCGAGCTGCTCGCCATGCGTTTGATCAAGGAATTCTCTACCAGGGAGCTACTTGATGCCCTGTCCTACGACTTCGACCCGCTTCAAGGAATGGCGCCTCTCGATCATGCGCAAGGTGCAAACAGGCCCCGCTCGAGTCCGCGTTCCGCTCGGATATCCACAATAGAGATTGCCATTCGTGCCCAGTCGAAGAAATTCCTAGCACATCCCTTAGTCGTACAACAACTGGAGGCCATCTGGGCTGGAACCATTGTCTTCCACTCGGCCGCCGACAATCTGCATAGGACCCCCTCTCGACGCGATTCGTCCAAACTTCGCGCCTATGGTACAACGAGAGCCGGTCTTTCTCCTGGTAGAGGACCCTCTAACGCACCTAGGGTCAAGATAGAAAGCTCTGATCAGCTCTTGAACGAAGCCACGCTCAGACGCTCAGTCACTTTGTATGACCCTCACGACGCATCACTATTCAAGCTCTCTCGTCTTCGTGTTCCCCGTTATAGGCAGTTGTTCTCAACAGGCTCCTTCGCCGTCATGCTTGGCTTGTTCTTAGCAGTCTTGGTCCAGAAATCCGACGACATTACCGGACTCGAAGTTATTTTCTGGTTCTGGAGCGCTGGTTTTATGCTTGACGAGATTGTCGGCTTCACTGAGCAAGGCTTCGGCTTGTACATCATGAGTGTCTGGAATGCTTTTGATCTCGGTATACTCTTCCTCTTCGTGGCCTACTACGTGTTGAGGCTCTATGGAATACTTATGCCCAGTGTTCAAAAGCACTACGTCGCTAACATGGCTTATGATGTGCTCGGGACGACCGCCGTTCTGTTGTTCCCGAGGCTGTTTTCCGTGCTCGACCATTATCGCTATTTCTCGCAGCTGCTCATCGCATTCAGAATGATGGCCATGGATCTGGTCGCCATTCTGGTCCTAATTATCATAAGCTGTAGTGGCTTCTTCGTTGCATTTACACTTGCATTTAGCAATGACCTAGATGCCGGCGGGGCCGCCTACGCCCTCTTTCAAATGCTCATGGGCTTTACCCCTGCTGCGTGGGATATCTGGGGAGAGTACAACATCCTAGGAAAAGGCATACTTACGCTATTTCTCTTCATTTGTCACTTCCTGATTGTTACGATTTTGATCACAGTCTTGACGAACTCTTTCATGGCCATCGTACAGAACGCAAATGAAGAGCATCAATTTCTTTTTGCAGTCAACACCATCTCGATGGTCAAATCCGACGCTTTGTTCTCGTACATTGCTCCGACAAATGTACTCGGATGGCTGCTCATCCCCTTGAGATTCTTCATGCCGTTTCGGAAATTCATCAAGATGAATCGAACTGTCATTAAGATGACCCACCTACCGGTTCTGTTTTCTATATTTGCTTATGAGCGCTTTATCCTATCGTACTCTGCATATGGCCCGACGGACCTAGTTGAACAGCGAGGCCGAAGTGCTGCGAAGCTTCCAGCTTTCACTATGCGAGGCCCTGGAGATCTGTTTAGTCCTGGAGCTCGGCTTCGAGAGCCGTCAATCACAACCTTTCAAAAGGATCGCGCTCTCGATGAAGTCTTCCGGAGGCCGTTCAGGGATCCGTCACTCAGCCAGGCAAACGCTGGTACAATAGTCGGTCGAAGAAAATCGAGCAATGTAGTCCGCGACTGGATGCAGGGTATAGGACATGAAGGAGGCACACCTCCCCCGATGGAAGAGCCTCGCTCTGTACTCGACCAGCTTGAGTCTCGGCGGCCGAGGATTCGACGAGCCAACACAGGTCAGCAACCGATAGCCAAACGAAAGAATCACTCCGCAACCACTCGATCTGTTGCCTCGGACCCAGAAGAGCTGTTGACAATGAGGCGCTCAAGACCTTATCCGATTCAAGAGGAAGAAGGCGAGTTGCCTGATATGAGCATGGATGATATCCTCCAAACAGATGGCGACGGCGATGATGAGCTCGTCACAAACGACGAAGATGATCAAGAAACATCCACTCGCGAAGGCTCCGACAAAGAGAATCGCCAGCACAGGGCCTACAGCTCTTCATCTGAAGACTACTTCCGAACTCCCATGACGGCGAAGCCAGAGACACCAGTCCAACCCAGCTCTCTATCCTCTTCCGCAGCACGCGCTCGACAACAACTGCAGCCAAATGCCACCCCCAGCTACTTTTTCGGCCCTGGGGCCTCCCGTCCTAACCGCGGCCACTCCCGCCAACTCTCCACCAACACCGTCCTTTTCAACCCGGCCGAATCCAAACCGCCATCCCAACCTCAATCCAAACCCACCTCCCAACCCTCCCGCCAACCATCCGCCCGCCAGTCCCGCGCCACCTCTCCCGCCAAACGTCCCACCACCGCAAACCGCTCCGGCACCGCCACTCCATCAGGCCGTCGCACGCCCAAACGCCCCGTTCTCCCGACCATCCAATCCGCCCGCGCGCGCCCCATCATGCCACCCCACGGCCTCCACAACTCGGCCCTCTCCTTCAGCGACTTGCTCGGCCTCAACATCGGCCCCCGCCGCGACCCGTCCTTCAACGCGCGTGCGCTCGACCTCGCGTCCGACCTCGGCGACAACAAGCACGGGCCCGACTTTGGCGCGCTGCCCGCCAGCTTCTCGACCCAGCTGGAGATGGAGGCGCTGCGGCGCAGCAAGAAGAAGGAGGAGGAGGAGGGCATGGTCAGCCGCATCATGCTGGCGCGCATGACGACGCTGGAGGAGGGGTTCCGGGATGTGCTGAAGGAGGTCAAGGGGCTGAGGGGGTATGATGGCGGGGGCACGGCGACGGGGGTCACGAGTCGGGCGGGGAGCACGAAGGATGCTGGGGAGGGGGGAATGCGCAAGAAGAGCGGGAAGGGGCGGAAGAAGGCGGTGGCGGAGGGGCAGAGGGCGGTGGTGGAGCAGGTGGGGAGTTTGCCGACGACACAGACGCTGATGCAGGGAGAGGGAGAGGGAGAGGGGGAGGGGGAGGGTGAGATACCGGATTTGGCGGAGGCGATGAAGGGGGAGAGGGTGGGGAGCAGTAGTCTTTGATTGAGCGATAGGTTCAGGGGCGGTATTGTCTGGCACTTCTATGGTGGCATTTGCATAGTGTTGTCTTTTTGCATTTGGGTTTGAGGCCGAAGGGCATTGGTGAATGCATGGGGGCCAGGGGTAAGAGGGGTTGTATTATAGCATATGGCGGATACCCAGATCAATTCATAATTTCTTTCCTTCATTCATTCGTATATTTCATATCTCTTCCGTCTTTACACGTTCTCTAGCCCTTGCTTTTTTTGTCTTTGGTATTCTTGACTTCCTACTTCCTATCGCTTGGTGGTTCCCCCCCACCCCCACCCCCACCCCCACCCCCACCCCCAATCCACTCCGCGTGAATTCGCTTCCCCAGTGGAGCATTGTCACACAGCCATGTGTGAAGTAGCCCTGTGAACCCCCCCGCCCCGGAAATCGTATGGTCCTACCCCGTATCGGAGGAGATGCCAGCGTCTCTCTATCTCCTTGGTGCGGTAGGCACCGCCATGGACAATCGGGAGTACAGTTCCGCCTGCGTCGTCGTTGGAGAAGGCGGGTGGCGTTGCGGGTTAAGGAGATTTGATGATGTCTGTGTCTTCGGCTTCTTGTTGACCGGATACATGGAAGGTGGGACATCGACGCGGTGTTGCGGAGGTTGGTTTCTACAAGGGTAGTCTTTGCTGTGTCGGTGGTGTTGATAGAGGAGGTGGTGGTGTCGTGACGTGTCCCTGTCGAGGTTGTGAGGGGGGGGGCTGTCTGTGGGGCTGTTGCCAATTTCGGTCTCTGTTGACAGTGACGTCGGGCGTCGCGTGGTGATGAGCGGGTGACGGAGTGATGTTTGCTCGGAGAGGGCGGGCTAGAACGGCTATCGTGGGCGTCGAGAAACCTCACGGCGCTGCGTAAGCAGGCGAGATGCCTTCGGTGAAGTGATCTTAGGCATAAGGGAAAAGAATTGCACAGGTGAGATGCCCTCGGTGACGTGAAAGCGCTCCCACACGTGAGATCCCCAGCCCACATACAAAATAAGCATGTGACCCTCGTCCATAGTCAGTCTACATATTTCGAAATTTTCTTCCCCTTACCACTAATTTGCCCCAGCAGCTCCGTTGGTAATCTCGGCCACATCGTGTGTAAGCCCGCGGCTGGATCCCAGGCATTATACCTCGCGAGGTAGCGTTTCACTACCGTCGACAACCTCACCTGGGTCTTGAGTTCGATTCTCAATTCGGCCCTTGTGTTAAAAAGTCGAGTTTGACTTCGGGCGGCCTGGTTTAGTAGAGAGGCTTGGAAGCCTGGTAAAGAGGACGTATGCAGTTGGTGCGTGAGGCTGAGAGTGGCCGGTTAAGATGACAGAATTGAAAATATACCGCGGGCGGGCGAGACTTAGAGAAACCCCATCCGGGGTGGCTACACCCTCGAAAGAGGGTGGTGTTTTGCTCCCCAGATGTTCTTTTTAGTGCAGGCCCTACTTAACTTTCTGTGAGCTCTCTCGCTCCTCTAAGAGTCTCTTCTTTTTGCGCGTGTGGGGTCTCTTTCTTTTTTGGGATGTGCTTTAGGGATGCGGGAGGTTGGGGTGGAAAAGGGTTTGGGTTGTCAGTTTGACTTTGCACCCCGACCTCACTGACATTGACAGAACCAGCTTCTCTGCCCATACTGAACTGTCGCCCGGCTGTACGTCTTCGAACGATTGTAAAAGCCGGACGGTGGTGTAGAGCGCCTCAGTGAGGGCGTGCTGTTGGCCGATGCACGTGCGCGGCCCGCCGGAGAAGGGGAGGTACTCCCAGCTGAAGAACGGAGGAACGATTTAGCTTTCGTCGAGGTCAAGACAGGAAAGGAAAGCAAGTGGCGTTTACCTAGTCCTGAGGCTCTCCCACCTCTCTGGGCGGAACTCATCAGCGTCGTCGCCGTAGATATCTTTGCGATGGTGCATCGAGTAGGGAAAATGCAACACGCGCGTGCTTTTGGAGAGGAATATGGGGGATCGCCCGTCTTTGCCACCACCGAGGGGGAGGATGGTGTCTTTGAGCGCAATGCGGGAGTTGACTGGGATGACGGGGTAGAGTCGTTGAACTACAGGTCTCGTGTTAGATGACTGGGGTTCTAAGATGAGAACACGAGAAGTTATACATGGGTGAATGCTTACCTTCTCTTATGGTCCAATTCAGGTACTTCAAGCCTTTAACGTCTTCGAAATTAGGGAGTTGTGTCTCGAAACTCGATAATACTTCATTCCGTAGCTTAGAAAACACATCAGGTCGACGTGCAAGTGTAAACCACAATACCGTCAGCAAACTAGACGTCGTACCCCCTCCCGCAACAATAACAGCCATCAGCTCCGCAGCAAGCCTCTTTTCATCATACCCACTCCTCGCAAGGTGTGGCAGAAAGACGTATCTTGCCCCTTCCTCCTCGTCTCCGTTATCCGCCATCGTCCCTTTGTTAGCGTTCTGCAACGCGAGGGCCCGTCGAACATAGATGTTGACAAATGCTTTCATATCCCTAATACACTGATGGAACTTCGGATCCGGCATCAGCGTCGCCAACCACCCAATACCCATGCGGAACGATAGCCCCTCAGACGCGTACGTAAACGCGTCCATGAACCTCCTCGCCTCATCTCGCGGCGTCCCGCTCAGCAGATTCGTGCTCTCGCCCAGCATCAACTCGGTCGCTGAATCCATCGTCAGCTCGCCAAACAGTGGCTGCAGATCCACGACTTTTCCGTGCTTGGGAATCTTCTCAATGAGCTGTCGCACATGCACCTCGAGCCTAGACATGTCCCCAATCTGGCTGCGGACGAAATTGGGTCGCAGCAGCGCTCGCGAAGCTTGCCATTGTGCACCGTCGAGCGTGAAGATTCCTGGCCCGAAGATAGCAAGTGCATCTTTGCGTGTCTGGGACTGGCCGTAGTCCTCGTAGCGGGTGGCGAAGATAGTCTTTACGTTCTCAGGCTCGATGGTGTAGATGACGCGGGAGCCGAGGAAGTTGGTCGAGTATGTGTATACGCCACCTTGGATGCGCTTGAAGGTGTTGTCGAGATGGTTCATCAAGTTTCCGCGCTGTAGGTTACGGAGACAGAGGATGAGAGAGTCGAGCCCGAAGATAGGATCGATGTGGGGATACGATGGAGGCGGCTTGCATCCTTCTCCGTCTGCGCGCGTATGTTGTCGGAAGTGGGATAAAATTAAGGTGGCAACGAGAGATAGAATCAAGAAGCCTGTTGACAAAGAATAGAACATGGAATAGACTTCCGACGGATGAAAGTTGGGTGTTTTGTCGATAACCTCCGCCATAGAAGCATTCTCTAAGCGGAATGAAGGATACAAACAAGCGTTCTTGATGTAGGTCGTCGGCAAGGTATAACATCATTGCGGAAAAAAGGTACATATATTGGCGTACTGGCTGCTAGCTGTCCAATGTGCCTACCTGAGATGGTGCTTACAGACCGCGGTCTCGAACCCAAAGGTTGGTTTGGGCCGAGAGACATGGGTGGCCTTACGTGATGATTAAGTTGCAAGAATACCTTATAGGCGCTCTCAAGGCTCCTATCAGCAGAGATCTACATAAATGTGATGGTCTTAGCCAATGACGGCTAGGTCGCGGTGTAGATTATTGAGGGGAAGACAAGTCAGACAGCTACGTCGACAGGGAAGCATGATGCTAGTGGAGTGCTACGGCGGGCGGTCTGTAAAACCCTGCATAGGGGTGGGTTTAGCAGCCCTATGCACCACTATACAATCCTGCGAAGTACTCCTGGCCTTGGGCAACTTTCCAAAGATCAACTCTCATAGTTATTAAGTCCGGTTCACGATGTCTGGCAATCCCATACCGCATTACTTCCCAACAGCACTGCCATAGAATAGAGATCTGCATGAGACAAGCGACGGAGTCTGGCAATGTTCGTACTGCGCTTCTGAGGTTCTGCGAAAACCGCTGCTTCATAGCTTCGCCATCTTCAGCATCCAGGGCAATCCTTCTAACTGCGCCTCGATCCCACATCGTAGTTTTGCATTTCATGTATTTGAGGACGTAGCTACCTATATGCCTCTCATACGGTGTGTGCTGAGGGGGGCGGGCAGGTGCTCGTGGAGGATGCCAATACTGAAATTACAATGAATACCTATCTATTTCACTCGCACAAGTTCAACTCTCTCTCTCATATGTCTCCATTTTGCAATGCAAGCAAGCCCCTACGACCCAGCTTATTCAAAGCCCGCCTGTCCAATTGACCTGTTGCCCAGCCCCCACCCCTCGAGCCCACCAAACCCCCACCAACCGGAAGAAACCTCTACCATAAGAGGAAAATATGGAATGGATTGGATTGGACTGGATTGGCCGCATGCCGATCGCTAGGGGTGAAAAAGGTTATTGCAAAGCTGCCTTGACGCCGAAAAACACAGTATACTAAACAAAGGAAAAGTGAAGAAGGATGTGGTATCAGGGGGAAGATGAAGGAAGGGGAACCCAGGCGTGCTTAACCAAAACCTCAAGCACACGTAAATCAGAGCAAAGCAAAAAGATCGGGCCAAGATGTGGTTGCTGGGGATTACAGGAAGTAAGGGGAGAAGTACGGAATGGAGGCCCTGCTCGCATGTTAGTACGTCGGGTTTTCGTGTAGGATATGCAGGGAATACTTACCCAATCGCAGCCAATGCAATGGTGCCGAATAACGCTTTCCTCGTGACGGTATCCTTCTTGGCCTGCTCTTCGAGCTTCTTCACTTTCTTCGTTGGTTGTGCGGCGGCGGCGGCTTCCTCCTCGTCGACCTCGACTTCGTCCACCTTGCGCTTTGATGGCTTGACGCCGTTGACTTGCTTTGCGTCTAGTTTGTTCGCCTCCTCAACCATTGCCTGGGCCTTCGCGATCATCTCCTCGGGGCTCTCTGGAAGAGGTAGCGTTGGTGAGTTCGCAGGCCAGTCGAATTTGATAGCTGTGGTGGCCAGCTCACCTTCGCCGTTCGTTTCAACAGTGTTAGTGACCTCAAGCTTCGCGACTTCTTCGTCCACCGACTCAGAGACGATCGATTCCGATGTGCCGTTTTCGAGAACGTTTGACAGGTTGCTGGGCGCCGTCTCGCTCTTGGTTGTGTCGGCCTTGGCTGAGCTCCTCGTGCTCCTCGACTTGCGCGGGCTTGCCATCTTCCTGCTCGGGGTCGCGATCTTGCTGGGCGAGACTGAGCGCGAGGCTCTGCTGCGCAATGAGCGCGCTGCTGATGAAGGAGGAAGCAGGGATCCCTTGGTGGGGACGACAAACTTTGGCGGGGTCATGATCTGGTTGATGGATTTGTCTTTGCTGCCTTTTTCGATTGGTTCGGGGCTGAGCAGGGCGTCGACCCAGAGGCGCAGGCCGTATTCCTCGGAGAGTTCGAGGGCTGTGGAGGTTCGCGTTAGTTGGTGAATGCTGCATTCCTCGCGTAACTGCGGGTGGCGGACACACCTTCGTCTGGCGCAATCCATACACTGCCAGCCACCTCTTCTGAGCCGATGGCAGACGACATTTCCTTGTGGTGCTTACGCTCGGCTTCCTCTTCTAGCGACGATGCCCATGGGAACGCGGCCTTGAACATTCCCGTCGCGCTGATGAAGCCATCGCTACTCCGTCGCTATCAACCAGTCAGCATCACAGATCCATCAGCAAATCGATTGCGCTTCGTCGTACCATCAAGAAGTATGATTCTGGCCATGCCCCTTGCTTTGCGACGAGAAAGATGCCGGAGCCGCTGAGGTCTTTCGGCAAGGGTACCCGCAGATGCGCATAGTCGAAGGTTCCCAGGTTCGCAGGCTTCGAAGCGTTCGCAATGCCAACTTGGCCTACCTTGACGGCCAGATTGGTCTGGCCTAAGCGCCGGCGCTCAACCAGTATCTCATCTGCGATGGTTAGTGATGGATTTCGCCAGGCGCATTGAGCTACGTGTACATACGGCCAGGTGAGTGCTCCTCGTCGATGAGAGGGTTTCGTTTGGGCGGCAGCGATCGCTTGGGCGCAGCCTCCTCGGCGATTGCTTTCTTGGAGACCATGCTGATGCGCGGGGATGGAAGTGGTGAGGTATGGATGGAGGTCCTCGAGTGAGGTGGGTCGGAGACGGGAGGCGGGAACGCGCGCAGACTTCAGCGACCGGCTCGAGGGGGCAGACGGAGCGGCGAGAGAGCGATGCGTCGGTGTTGGGGCAGCGCCAGAGTAGAATACACAGAATAAGCTCCACAGCAGCGGACGACAGGCTGGAGAGAGAGTCGCAGAGGCTCGCAGTGAAGAGTGGTGCGCTCGGACAGCTGTCTGGGAGGAATATCCATGCGACGCTAGCGAGTAATCGAGTGGCTGGCAGGGGCTGGAGGGCTGGAGGCTGGAGGGCTGGGTCCTTCCCCAGATTTTGCACCGCTCGACGCCCACTGAAGTTTTGCACTCCCGATTCGGCCGCACGATGGTATTGTTTTCCCAGACGGGAGCCCAATCTCGGCTTCGGGCCAGAACGAGCACAACGGGCAAAGCTTGGTGGAGGCGCTTGCCTGCCAAGTTTTCTGGAAGACAACCCTTGCCGCCGGGAGACAGGCGAACATGTGGAGAGCGGATGCTGCCCATTGCTCACGTTAACTAATCTACCTATGGTATATGCAAATTCAGCTATAGGAGCCAATTGTAGTCGAGACTTGCCTATAATGTTTTCGGAACTCAGTCTGGGCAGAATCGGCTCTCTTTCTACGATCGAGGGTGCTTCAACATACGTTCAAAGATAATACAGAGATGATTCCAGTTGCACGCTGGGTGGGATTGCTGGTTCAGCTTAGGGGGTGTCGGCTCGTACCAAGGAGGCATACCGCTGTAGTATTCTAGTTATATCAAAGGAAACACCGGCTTCCAATATGTATGAATTTAGGATTTCAAGGAGGCGAGAATACTTGACAGAGAACCAAAGATGGCCGAACGTTCATCTGATTTGGCCTTGATAAACGGACATTGTATGACTGTGACGTAAATCTATATCCATAATCCCGGTGTCGTTCGCTGTGCTGTCTCTAGAAGAGGCTACGGGACAGCCCTTGCGGCTGCGATTGGCGGGAGTGCTTCTCCTAGCCGTCTCAAGATTCAACACCGCCACCATATAGGCTCTAATTATACCCCATACACAAACACTGATAGGTCTCCTAGCAGATGCATCACACTCTGGCATCACCCTCTGTTTCAAAGGCTGAGATACACGTCAGCAGGAAGCGAACAGGACCGAGAGTGCTCACGGGCCATTCCCTCAAACGGCCTAGCTGTGCTTCACCGCCAGCCCCACATGTGTTTTATGAAGGTTGCTGCCCCACTTGTCAGTCAACGGCTTGCAACACCACAGCATTCCCCTCCTCTGTCCAAACACGCCTGGTTGTACAGAACCAGCATACCAGTCATCCCACAAATCTACCCTCTACCGCCATAATCACCACAACCCTCCAACATGGCCGACCACCACGACGAGCTCCAGCCCGAGGCGACCGCGGGGTTCAAGGTTGCCGAGTCCAAGACCATTGACGAGTACCACAAGCTAGGTGAGTAGCATGGAGAAGCTCCGAAGTGGACAGGTTCTTTCATTTCAGCTTGAACGTATCTGCTCTGTATAGTTCCCCGCTCCGTGGTGTCCAACAGGCCGAGGCTGCATCGCGGGGACCTAATCCCCCCACCAAGCATTGTTTACCCAAAAGTCCCGCTGCAAGCCTCTCAAGATTGATATTCCTTCGAGTTGCAATCTGTGGAAACATTGCACCATTTATCTACTATATATCTTACCCTAACTCAACCCCTAAGACCAGAACGACGAGTCCCTTAAGAAGTGGAAAGAGTCACTTGGCATCGGATCCGGCAACTCCATCTCCAACCCCAACGACCCCCGCAAATGCATTATCCTTTCCCTCGGTCTGGAAGTCGAAGGCCGCCCAGACATAATCATCGACCTGAAAGCCCCCGGTGCCATCGAGGCACTCAAGGATAAGCCTTTCTCTATCAAGGAGGGCGCCGACTTTCGGATGAAGGCTACCTTCCAGGTGCAGCACCAGATCCTCTCGGGCATGAAATATCTCCAGGTCGTCAAGCGGAAGGGCATAACGGTCAATAAGCTGCAGGAGATGATTGTGGGTTTACATTGTTGCTGAGCGAGCTGAGGCTGGCATGCTGACGGAATACAGGGTTCTTTCAGCCCGAACACTGAGGACAAGCCAATTTGGGAGAAGAAGTGTACGCCTTCCGCTTTTCCAACTGGATCACCTGAACCAAGCTAATCTGGTATTTCCCTTAGTCGAGACAGAGAGTGCTCCCAGCGGCATGCTTGCCCGTGGCCACTACACCGCCATGTCCAAGTTCGTCGACGACGACAACGAGACGCATCTGAAGTTTGAGTGGGCCTTTGACATCAAGAAAGACTGGTAGGGCCCTGTGATTGATGGTCTGCGGCACTTTGGGCCGATCCAGAAGAGCGAATGTGGACGTGACTATGAGAGATGAGCTGATATTCATGTGGGAGGTTTGAGGGTCAATACCGGTGTTCTGGTTGAGGGGTTTACTTCATAAAACGGCTGTTGGTTACGGCACAGGTTGGACTATATGGTGGCGAGTAGAGGCAGAGCGAGATTCGAATCAATGGGCTTTACACGGCATTTGAATGAATTCCAGATACTCCTACATGCTTGTACACTTTCTTTGATTATAAGTCCATGAACCGTGACCTACATTTCATCCATACGCTCCCTCTCCTCTTCTGGGACCTCTATCTCCCCGTCAACGTCAAACCTGAACCACCTCTCCGCAACCGTCCTGACCTTCACCGTCCGCCCGGCCCAGCCCCTCTCACCACTCCCAGCCCCGAGCCTACGCATCGTGGTGTTCAATATCGGAACCTCCTGCTCCCACGGATCTTCATCCCTCTCACCTCGGCCAGCCTCTTCTGCATTATCTTCTCGCCCACCTACACCTCCATCATCCCCACCACCCATATCTGCATCATCACCTTCACTGCCCCCCTCTTCCACGCCCAAACTCATCCCTTTCTTCCCACCGCACTCCACAACCACCAACTCCTCTCCCGCCCTCGCCGCCGCCTCCACCGCAGCCGCAAAGCACCTCCCAAGCCCTTGCGCCGAGAACGAGGGCGTGTGCGAATGCAGCGCTAGCGGATCGACGAGATACAGTATCCGCCCGCCTCCAGCTCCTGCACCACTGATAATCTTCGTTTCCTCGTCCCCATTCCCTGCTCCTGCACCCGCTACGTCCTTCGTCCCCTTGTACACACCCAACCACCCCAACAAGCTCGCCACGCTCGGACAAAACACGAGCTTGATCTGCGAAGACGTCGCGAGGGTATGCAGAGTCGGAGTCAGCGCGTCTGAGCGGCTAGAGCTCGGGGTATTGGTCGCGTGGACGAGGTGGGCGAGGAAGGCCGGGCGCGTGGAGCAGATTACGAGCGTGGCGGGCGCGGGGGACTGCGCGGCGAGGATGCGGGTTAGGAGGGCGGGAGTCGTGAGGGAGTGGAGGATGGTTGGTTGAGAGGGTTGTGGTGGTGGCATTGCGGGTTGGAGCTCAGGGCTGGGGATGTGATGACGAGATTGTTGTGAGGAGGGTTGGAGACATGATGGCGGAGGTTCAGGCTATAGGTTCTTAAAGTTCTGTGAGTAAGTAGATGGAGACTTGACTGACTTGTAGCCTTGTTTGGCGTGGTAAGGAGTCCCCCCGTGGGTTGTGTGAAGGTTTGAAGACTGAGTAGGTCACGATTCCGAGATCTCCATCCCACCTCAACGTCACCCCGCCAAGCAACCACCTCCGTCCTTACATTCGCCCTCTCGGCGCCCACGATTGCGCAATGGAGTCCATATCGAGGATCTCCAGCATGCTGGAAACAGGTAAACCTTATTCAGGCCCTTCGAAGTCAGCCATACAGCTACTAATACGGCCTCACAGCTCGCGACCTCACGCTCGAGGCAGCTAGAGATGCCAGCTATATCCGCAAGACTTCCACTCGGCCTCTGCCAGCCGCCCAGCTCAAGAAGCTGCTGGATAGCCGCACAGAAAGAGATGTGCTTGAGGGGTTACGGAAAGTGATTACTGTACGTCTATCTCAAGTTTCAACTCCGCAAGACATCATAAATACCCTTCCAGCTCTCAATACGTCTCTTCAATCCCTACTCGCGTGTTACAACTAACAAATGCATATAGATGGACTACCGCAATCAACCCACCCTCCCCTTCTTCACCTCCGTAATCAAAAACGTCGCGTCCCCCTCCCTCGAAGTCAAAAAGCTCGTCTACATCTATCTCCTCCACCATGCCGAAGCCGAGCCCGACACCGCCCTGCTAGCTATAAACACGATCCAAAAGTCGCTCGCCGACTCAAATCCCCAGGTGCGGGCCCTCGCCCTACGCGTCATGTCCGGTATTCGTGTGCCCGTCATCTCGCAGATTGTGAGCCTGGGCATCAAGAAAGGCGCGGGGGATATGAGTCCATATGTCCGGAGAGCGGCTGCGCTCGCAGTACCGAAGTGCTATGCGTTGGATCCGAGCACATTACCGCAACTGCTGGAATTTCTCGCGACGCTGTTGGGGGATAAGCAGTATTTCGTTGCTGGAGCGGCTGTAGCTGCGTTTCTGGAAGTGTGCCCAGATCGAATAGATCTGATACACCCACACTACAGGAGTCTGATACGGAAACTGGTCGACATGGATGAGTGGGGACAGCTGGCGACATTACGGCTCATGATGGTATATGCACGGAAATGCTTCCCAAGACGGACACGACGAGTGAAGAAGACCATCGTCTCAAGCACTACTAATAAACTAACCACGAAAACCACAAAAGGCTTCTACGACAGCGACTCCGACTCCCCCGACTCCGAATCCTCCGAATCCTACGAAAAAATCCAAGTCCTAGACCCCGACCTCGAGCTCCTCCTCAAATCCGCCTCCCCCCTCCTCCAATCCCGCAACTCCGCCGTCGTCATCGCCGTCGCGCGCTGCTACCTCTACCTAGGCACGCCCGCCCACCTCGATGCCGCCATCGGGCCCCTCATCTCCCTCCTCCGCTCCGCAGCCGACATCCAGCACATCGCCCTTTACAACATCGTGCAAGTATGCCTCGCGCGGCCCCAGCCCTTCGTGAGCCACTACACCCACTTCCTCGTCCGTAGTACCGACGCGCCGCACATCTGGCGGCTAAAACTCGAACTCCTGACCCTAATCTTCCCCCACGCGCCCCCGCGACTCCAGTCCCTCATCCTCGCCGAGCTCTCCCACTTCTCCCGCAGCAGCGGCTCCCAGGACCCGGGCCTCGTGCGCGAAGCCGTGCGCGCCATCGGCCGCTGCGCGCAGAGCTCCGCGACCTCTCCCCGGACCTCAGCGCGCTGTCTGCGCCTCCTGCTCGCGCACATCGGCTCCGCGGACGCCCACCTCGTCGCCGAGAGCCTCGAGGTGATCCGCCACCTGATCCAGCGCGACCCGGACGCGCACCGCACGACCGTCGTGCGCCTCGCAAAGCACCTCGACGCCGCCACCAGCGCCCAGGCACGCGCCAGCATCATCTGGCTCGTCGGCGAATTCGCAGGCGTCGACCCGGCGAACAACATCGCGGCCGACGTGCTGCGCATTCTCGCAAAGGGCTTCGCAGACGAAGCGGAGGCGGCCAAGTTGCAGATTGTATTGCTAGCTGCGAAAGTCTACGTGCACTATCTAGACGCGAACCCGCCTCCTGACCCACCTCAGACACAGCCAAAAGCTTCGCCGTCGCTACTGGATGGACTGGACGATGACAGCGGGTTCCGCGACGTCGAGGTCCCGCAGCAACAGAAAGAACCCGAGAAGAAAGACATGTATCCGATACCGGCGCTGTATCACTATATCCTTCTACTCACCCGCTACGACACATCCTACGACCTGCGCGACCGCGCCCGCGTCTACCGCGCCCTCCTCGCCACCCCGTCATCAACACAGCTCGCGTCGCTGCTGCTCCTAGCGCCGAAACCCGTCCCGCAGACCCCGAGCCCCAGCGAGGCGCGCAAGGGCTACACCCTCGGCAGCGCGAGTCTAGTCGTCGGGGACGAGGGCGGCGTCGGCGGGCTACGGGGGTACTCGGACCTGCCCCCCTGGGTAGCGGAGGGCCAGGAGCCGGACGCGCGGCTGCGGGATGAAGTGGTGAGTTCGAGTCGGGACTACGAGCCCATGGCGTCGCGAAGCCAGACGGCGAGTGAGCGGTTGGATAGCGCGGTTAGTGCGGTGCCTACCTCTGCCTATAGTCGGTCGCCTGCTGGGGATACGGGGCTGGCGCCGAAGAAGGCGAGCGCGAATGGGGTTAAGGAGAAGTCGTTGGATGATTGGCTGGCGGAGGACGAGGAGAGCGAGGAGACGGAGACGGAGAGTGAGGAGGAGGAGAGTACGGAGGAGGAAGAGACGGAGAGTGAAGAGGAGAGCGAGGAGGAGGGGGAGGGGGATCGGTTGGTCAAGTCGTCGTAGACTAGACGAAGAGAATTGCATCGAATTCGTGCTACTGTGGTTACTTTGCCCTTGAGATAATAGAAATGAGCGAGTCCCTTTGACAGTTCGTCAAAACTCGATCAATCATGGTGTCTTCTATTCAGACAAGCTGAGTCCTAGTATGCTTCTGTGAAGTGTTGAGGGTCACGTCGATCCATCTGACCTCAAGTTCCTGGAGGCGCCTACGATGGATCCGAAAATCTACACGTCTGGGGGCGTACGAGCTGCCTGGAGTCCCCATTCTTGCTCAGTATGCCCATCCAAAGCCTTGAAACGTGGGTGCACCGAGGCGTCTTTGAGGGACTACGGCGTGTGACATCAAAGCTGAAGACTTTAGACTTACTACAGTCCTGCGACATAAGTTTAGACACTTTTTGCGACTACTTGGGGTAACCCCATGGACTTTTTCAATATTCAGATACAGTGTAAAGGTCGATGCAGCGGGAACTAGGCTACCTTTTAACCGGCCGAACGCCTACTAGCGGGGCTGCTCCCCACGGTGGTGTCGAGTGAGCAAGGGTGGAACCTGCGCAGTGGTTTATCCGTGCGCCCAAACTCTGACCTAGTACTGCAAGACCTCTTGGGGATCTTGACATTATCAAGTTATGATCCTGTGAGTAAATTAGTGGTGTGACCTTTGCCGTGGGATGTTGTAACTCGATAACACTCTGTCGGCCAAATACCCAGCATCATCGCTTCCCCCTTGACTACCCACCGTCCCTACTAATGGTCTACATAATCGCAGAAAGGCGATCGAATCCCGCGAATAGTCGTACTCATCGACACAACAAATCTACCTTGGACGAATCAACGTGAAACGGATGATGAAAAAGGCACACGTCTTGAAAGTATATAGACAATGTTGTTAAGACTCGGATCACTGAACGATTTGAGATGACGAGTGAGTGTGACTGACGGAGCAGAGGTTGATGGTGACATTTGAGGTTGTAGAATGAGGTGTCATGATCAAGAAGTGAGGCAATGAGGCAGAAACATTGTATTAAACCTGATGACAAGAAGGTAAGGGCTGACAGTTCTCTGAGTTCTGAAGGGGTGAGAAAAGAGAAGTCTACCGGAAGAAAGAAGCAAATGCCAGCAATCCATAGAAAGGACAGCCGTGGGATCCGAAACCGACTGGCAGAATTGCCACTTTTTTAAAGGAACAAGATCCACCCAATGCCCACTATAACTCCATAGACAAAAGGAAGTATGGACGTCCGCCCTAGTGCTGTGACAGTTTGGCAGACCGCGAGCTCCAACCCTTGCGAGTCTGGTATAGTTAAAAGGTGGTAAGACCAAGAGCCGAAAATCGGTCGTCTGGTTAGTAGACAAAATTACAAGCCGCCAGCCCCAAAGTACAATGAAAAGTGTATGGTACAATCGAAGTGAAAAAGAAAACTTGCCCAAACTTGGCAAGATGAGAAGTATGGGTAGAATTGACAGAGAGTTCATCGGCGGCTAGCAAGGGTTAGAAGCGATCAGCCTTCTCAGGAAAAGGGGCTCACCTATAAGCTGCAGCGACTTGGGGTTGGCGTCTCTTGTATCTAGGGGTAAAATCGTCGTGTTGACGTAACTTCTCCTCCGGTTCACCATCATCGTAGCTTCGCTTGCGTGAGGTCGAGCTGTCGGTACGGTCCAAGCGAGGCTCAGCGAAGCTGCCTACTTGCGGTTTGGCATCTATCTCTGGATCATTAGCAACGGTGTTGTTGTCGTCTCCGCCGAAATCAGACCCAGCGAGAGTGCGATGGCTGCCGTCAGATTTGGGACTCTCATGAGTGCCATCAAAGGCACCGTTTCCGTTCGTCCTATCGTACGATTGACGACGCTTCCAAGATCCAAAAGGTGGGGAACGCGGAGGCGGTGGCGGTCGTGGGTGGGACATCGAGCTATAGGCGCGCTGCTGCGATGGTGGACCGTAGCTGTTCTTCCGGTATCCACCATATGAATGGGATCGAGATGGTGGTCTCCTATCTTCGTAGGATCTTCGCCACCTGTCAGTACATACGCAAATCAGATGGATAAGACTAAGCTCTTACCGTGGAGGGTGACTGGGCGTCCGAACACGTTCTTCTTGAGCATCAAGCGACACGGCAACTTGCACATCTGGGTCAGCTGGCGTCGGCGATCCGGTAACGCCTAGTTTCAACAGTAGGTCTTCTTGACCTTGAGTCAAGCGATTCAAGCCTCGCTCGGGTTTGACACTAGGAGCTGATTTGCCAGCAGAAGTCTGTCCAGATTCTAAGGCCTGCTCGAGATTGTCCATGATATTCCAGTCCGAATTTTTCCTATCCTCATCCCGTCCAAAGCGGAGTTCATCGTCAAGGTGTTCCCAATCTGGGCGATCACGATTGCGAATAACGTCATCGATACGAATCATCTCTGTCTCACCCACTGGGAATTTCGTGAATACTGGATCATCACAGACATGTTCCCAGTCATCCGTCTGTCTGACATCCAGGCGGGCTTCGTACGAATTCCGCAGCCCGAAGTAAATGGAGCAGGATTCCCCGTTGCCGAGTTTGGGCTTAGGTGGTTTCAAGGCATCTTCTTCCGCTTCATCAAAGGTCGACTTTAGGGCACGAGTTACTTGCTTAGGAGGATGCCATACTAGTCAAGTCAGTAGTGACCCAACAACTTCTAGCAAGACACTCACTCAAAACGCCCAGACTCAAGTTCGGATCGATGGGCTCGTTTCCCTTCGGCCAGATGGCGCCGTCGAAGTCGAAATCCCAATCATCCCATCCCAGGTATAGATCTGGCTTCTGGTCATTGGGGTCTACACTCGCATTCTCCGATTGAATAGAAATCGACTTCTCAGTACCAGGCTGAACCGAGGCTGGCACCGGTGTTGCGTTCGGGTCGTGAGGTGGCTGAGAGCTGTAGCCGTTCGCATTGGGGGGATAAGGTTGCTGGTAAGGAGCCTGCCAAGCTTGAGCGGATTGTTGGTAAGCAGCTGCGTTTGGGTCGGCGGGAGCTGCAGCAGGTGCGCCAGTCTGATGATAGCCTTGGTAGGCAGCTTGGTAAGACTGATGCTGTTGATATCCCTGTGCTGGTGCTTGGTACGCTGCATGGGGTTGAGTATACGCCTGCGCTGAGTACCCTTGTGAGTAGGTCTGGGGTTGTTGATAAGCTGCCGGCTGTTGGTAATTGGCAGGTGCTTGGTATCCAGCGGCTTGCTGGGGGTAGCCTTGCGCGGCCGGTTGCTGGTAGTTGGGTTGCTGATAACCTTGCGGATATCCACCTTGAGGGGCTTGATAGCCGGGCTGTGAGCCTTGGTAGGGGCCTTGATAGCCTGGGGGTGGTGGATAGCGAGTTATTACAGGATTACCTTTCTTCTTGGCAGGCCTTAGAAGAATTAGCGTTGCTAGGAGAGCGAAAGTAAAGGGGCTATAGGAAGCGGTATCCGAAGTGAAGCCGAACGTTCTGGAATGACTTGCAGCTGACTTACCGCTCGGACGGCGCTCCGGATGGGGCTCCGGCCTGGGGTGACGTTGCCGGCTGGCCTTGGTATGGTGGCTGTTGATAAGGTTGCTGACCATAGGATGCTGGCTGGCTATACTGCGGTTGAGAATACTGCTGGGCTGCTTGTCCATACGCAGGTTGCTGGTATGGCGGTTGAGTGCCGGTGTAGGGCGGCTGCTGATAGGGTGCCGCAGAGCCACCACCTTGGCCAGAGCCGCTCCAAGCCATGACGAAGTGTAAGAGCTATAAAATATGAGAATGGAACAACAGTTTCGAGATGTATGAGGTGAGGTTTTGATGAATTTGAGAGAGGAAGGCAGATGTGGGACAATTGTGACGGGTGGATCAAACCTTACCTGGCTCTACCTACGAACCGTGGGCCTGGGTCTTGGCGAGAAAGGCGATTCTATGAAAATTCGACTATTGACGCGTCCACGAGGAAGAAGTAAGGAAATACAGGCTCGTCATGTGAGCTATGGCGCAGATTGATGAATTGTCCCCTGAAGTGAGATATGGCGCGGGTGTGGATTGCTGTCCGGCGGCCACAACAGCCCAGCAGCTATGGGAGCTACAAGAGCACGAACAAGAGAGAATTGACTATTGAGTTGGGAATCAGTAACAGCAGACGGCGAGATAATGTAGCAGAAACGAATGCAAAGCAGACGACGGGCACACGACGTCGCGGCGTGACGAGAGGAAGAGAGGAGGTTGACGTCTCAAGCGGCCTCAACGTGACTCGCAGCTTCCCCGCACGGTCCACCCGCCAGCTTCGCTCTGGACGACATGTCGCCGCGCCTTTGCCTCACTACTGAATAATTATACGCCCGCCCTCCGCCCTGCCACTGCTCGCTCAGATGTGTCGAACATGATTGTACGATACGGCCGCCTGCTAGCAACCCGCTTAGCCTCACTTTGTCGCTGAACCCCCGGCGGATGCAGCGCCCGGCGCAGACATACCCCCCTCCACGCCCCAAGCATGCCAGGTCTTCCGTGTATGTATTCCGCCCGACTGCGACACCCAGGCTGCAAGGCTGACAGTCTCCGGCAGCAACTGTCGACCTCGATGAGTGCATATCACGGCTGTCCAAGAAGGAGCTCTTAGCCGAGTCGGTCATCGAGGCAATATGCGCAAAGACGAAGGAGCTGCTAATGAAGGAGAGCAATGTGGTACACATCCGCGCGCCCGTCACGGTGGTGGGTGACATCCACGGGCAGTTTTTCGACCTGATGGAGATATTCAAGATCGGCGGGCCGTGTCCAGACACGAATTACCTGTTCCTAGGTATGTTGGCGGCCGCTCCGCAGCACGCGACACCTGCATGAAAGCTTTGGCTGACTGAGACCACTACTACAGGCGACTACGTAGACCGCGGCCTCTTCAGCGTCGAAACAATCTCCCTCCTCGTCTGCCTCAAGCTGCGCTACCCCCACCGCATCCACCTCATCCGCGGCAACCACGAGTCCCGCGGCGTCACACAGTCCTATGGCTTCTACACCGAGTGCTCGCGCAAATACGGCAATGCAAACGTCTGGCACTACTTCACCGACATGTTCGACTTCCTGACTCTGTCCGTAGTGATTGACGACCAGATATTCTGTGTGCACGGCGGCCTGTCGCCCTCGATACATTCGATCGACCAGATCAAGATCATCGACCGCTTCCGCGAGATCCCACACGAGGGCCCGATGGCCGATTTGGTCTGGAGCGACCCCGACTCCGAGCGCGACGAGTTCTCGCTGAGCCCGCGGGGCGCGGGGTACACATTCGGCGCGCAGGTGGTGAAGAAGTTCCTCGAGGTCAACGCCATGTCGCACATATTACGGGCGCATCAGCTGTGCCAGGAAGGGTACCAGATATTATACGACGACCGGCTGAGCACAGTGTGGAGTGCACCGAACTATTGTTACAGATGTGGGAACATGGCGAGTGTATTGGAGGTTAGCGACAAGGGGGGAAGATTCTTTAATGTGTTTGACGCAGCGCCTGAAAACGATGCACACCGAGCCGAACAGCAGCAACAGCAAGGAAAAGAAGTGACGACGGAGTACTTCCTCTGATGCTCAAGCGACGGGTTCCTAAGTAGCGTTGGGCATTTATCGAGCTGAAGGTAGCGTGGGAGTGTCAATGCGACATGCATTAGAGGCGTTGAGGAGTTGCACGCGTCATTTGTATCGCGGGGACAATACCATTGTGCATAATATGCGTTGTTGGCATAGAGGTGGTGTTTCGTTATATGTACATGCTGTGCTATTCAACATCCTAAATACCTCGTTTCCACCCATCTGCTCTCCAAATCGTCGCTCATTCGTCCTATCACAACCTTAACCTCGGGGAACACGCTGAGTAGCCTATTAACTCCAATCTTGCCAGCCATGTAGGTCACGAAGACTATTTTCTCTTCTGGGACGCCATGATCGACGAGCACGCGGACCGCCATCAAAGCAGAAGCTCCAGACGACATTTGTGGATCCAGTAGAAGGACGAGTTCATCCTTTGACAAGTCTAGAATCTTTCATCAGTACTACTCTTAACCGGAAATTAAACACGTACCGGCAGGCAAAGCCCGATAATGCAGCTCCGGCTCTCCCGTCTTATCATTTGTCTGAATCAAAATTCGTCCAGTCCTACAGTCCGGAATACTCCGCCTCAATCCTGTCTCGAACGTACTTCCTCCCCTCAAAATCACGACCGCGCTGACCTCCCCGCTCTTCTTGAGTCCCATGTACAAATAGTCCTGCGGCGTCCTGATCTGCTTCGGCTCAAACGGAAGAAAGTCGATAGCTTTTTCGACCAGGAGAGTTACCATGCGGTCAAAGTAGAAGATGTAGTCTTCTTTTGAGGTGGCGGGGTCGACAAGCAGAGTGTTCATGCCGAGTACTTGGTTGGTTTGGGGGAGGACTAGGGCGTTGGGGAGGAGGGGGCTGTCGGAGGCGACTTTTCCCAGGCGGCGGAGCTCGACTTGGTGGAGCTTGGATTTATGGGCGAGGAGTTTTTCGACGCGGTCGGCGACCATGCCTAGGGGCGTGAGAGAAAGCTTTATAGTGGAGAAAGGGTGTGATATATGTACCTATGGCTACTTTGTTCTCGATGCCTCTCGGGACGATGAGGTCTTAGAGGCCGTTAGATATGTCTCGACAATGATTGTTCAACAGGACTGACTTACCAGCTATTTCTCGCTGCGGCCCTACGTATTTGTGGAAGTTAGGTTTGACGAAGTTGAACCATTGCTTGATGCAGCCTTCGATATCCCGACCTCTTTCCCTGACATCACGTAGGACTATTGTGAAGGGTGTCAATTAAAGACTAGACATCAAGATAACAAAGACCTACGTCTTCGGGACAAGCAGAGATCTCCATCAGCTTCAGCGAATATCTTCATTCGCTGTTAGCAAGAGCATGAAACAGAAGCTCCCTAAGCTACTTGCCTTCAAGTCTAACAGATCAAGTACACGTTCATCGTGAAGAGCCAAGATCCCCTCTAGAATCAAGACGTGCGGAGAATATATAGAAACTGTTTTATCAAGCCGTGCATGCTTCTCGAATGAATATATTGGAACTTCAGCCACCTTTCTAGTAGCACATTAGCATGATGACGGTCAAAACGAAAACGCAAGATTCAATACCCTTTCTTCAGATCACGCAGTACATCCACCAATTTGTCAAAGTCAATAGCATCTGGCGAATCAAAATCAAACTCGCTTCTGAAAGCTGCAGCCGACTGTTCAGGCGTCAAGACTTTGTAAAAAGAATCCTGCCAGCTTTAGTAAAGGTCACGAGACCATGGGTGGTGGCAGAATTAGCCAACCATGGATAGAATAGTGACCCAGGGAAGATTCATAGCCGCCACAATCGCAAGAGCCAGTGAAGTCTTGCCAGACCCAGAGCTCCCAGCTACTCCAATAATGCTGGCGTTCCCCCATGGCGGCGAATAGTCACAGCGGTCTATTGGGGCCATGATTGCACTGGAAAGTCTCGACTTTTGGGTCCCGGAAAAGGTATCTCAGCACATGGTAGCGTAGGCGTGAGAAGGGGTAGTACTGTGTTAGCAATAGGACCGGTTGAAAAAACGAAAGGACACGATATGAGGCATAAGTGAGCAACAGATACCTCTAGAAGAAGGTCCGAAGCACGTGCCACAAAGTGCCAAGCCGCTAAGTAGCTCTAAGTCGAGTTCTTCCCGCCAACGTCAACCCATCGTCTTCCCACAACATTCTCTCAAAAATTTCATCAGCTCCCCCATCACCCGGCTTTGGTCGAGTCGCGCCTCTCATCGACTGATGGAGATACGGTAGCACACTCCACCCAAGATGGTAAACCGTCTCGGTCCCGCATGTTGCTGCCTGCAAAGCTTACCCGATGAAAGAGCTCCTCCACTGTTTCAGTGTCGGCAGCGACGCCAACCACGCGGCACTCCTTCCAGCGCCGCGTAGACGAGATCAAGCCTTCCAAGACGTAAGTACCAGCTCGAACCGTCTTGTTCCTGTTGCCCACTTTACATGATGTGTTAAAATCAAATTGGGAATCTCTCCGAAAATTTCGTGTGGAGAATATGTTAATTTGTTGTCTGATCAAAGAGCCCACTCTTATACTTCTCTATCGTCTCCGTCTATTCCCATGGGGAATATCTGGCTAACTAGGCTCGATGCTATCGACAGTGATATCAACTTCGTCATAATGGATTACCTGATCAACGAAGGGTATCCGTCGGCAGCGAAGAAGTTTGCCATGGAGGCTAACATCCAGCCACCGATCGAAGAAGAATCCATCTTGCCGAGAGTGGAGATCAGAAATGCTATCTACGCCGGCGACATTGAGAAGGCCATCCACAAGATCAATGACCTCAATCCTCAAGTCAGTATGCCCAGTGCGCTTTCAGTCGCCTCACTCCGTTGCTATGATTATCTATGTTTCATGCACCACTCATAATTTTGTTGATGATAACCAACTCCTACGACACTTCAGTCCTCAGTATGAGCAACGTCAAAGTCTTTACTCTCTTCAAGCTACATACCATATTTGATCAAGCTAACGAGTACTTGGACTTGAAGATTCTCGACCTAGACCCTACCCTCCATTTCGCCTTACTTCGCCTCCAGCTCATCGAGCTGATCCGGAAATGTATGACGACACCCGATGCGGACATCACCCCCGCACTTACCTTCGCGACTTCTCAACTCGCTCCGCGTGCACCCACAAATCCTGAGTTCCTAGAAGACCTAGAGCGAACGATGGCCCTCCTCATTTTCCCGCCTGAAAACCTAGCTCCGCCACTAGCGGCTCTTTTGGATCCCGCTCTCCGACAGACCGTGGCAACCCGAGTAAATGAAGCTATACTCGGAAGCCAAGGTGCACGACGAGAAGCACGGATACGCAACCTCGTCAGGCTGCGTGCGTGGGCCGAGAGGAAAGCCCGAGATGCCGGCAAAGACATACCCGACAAGCTGGACTTGGGTCTCAATGCTGACAAGGAAGGTGATGATGAAGACGATGCTATGAACGGAAATGGAGAGACCGATGCTATGGTTTCGTGATGCTTTGTATAACAGGCTTTTCAGCGATGGCGTAATGACCGGCGACAGTCACGGCGGGTTTTGGCGATTGGGACGGATAGGCTCTGCTTCAGCTTGTGCGTAACAGGCTTGGTTTTGGGCTTTTGGGTGTGCTTTTATGATACCTGTTACGATAAGAATCGGATGAATACAATAAGCCCAAGGAAAGAAAATCTCTCCATGGCAATTGTCAAACACGCTGTCGCTCATTTCGTGAACCGGTAACACCCTTAAGCTTTCAAAGAAAGTAAGAGGTTTTCTTTCTAGATCAGCATGTTATTAACTATTCGTTGACTGAAGGTCTAGATATTGGACCAGCTCTGCGCCTGCCACGATGGGATGCATGAGATGGAGGCACGTTACTGCATGCATGTGGATGCAAGTGGCGGATGCACGTTCTATCATGGCAGGCACGTCTGCCACTATGGAACGTGTATCTTCCCCACGATTAGATGCGTAAGGCGGACGCACGTTACCTAGGAGATGCATGTGGCAACAAAGGAGGCGGATGCACGTTCTATTATAGCAGGCACGTCTACCACAATAGAATGTGCATCCGGCCTCATTGTAGTAGGCGCGCCTGCTACGATAGAAGTGTATCCGAGTCACGATAGAACGTGCATCCGAGCCACGATAGAACGTGCATCCGAGTCACGATCGGATGCATGGGGCGGACGCACGTTTTTAGGTAGCGGATGCAGGTGGCACGTTACTTTTGTGGAACGTTTCGATTTGCAGAAGCACTTTCATTGAGTACCATATGGAGGATAACCTGCAGGGCACTGTACAAACGTCCCATAACGAATTGCAAATCGCATGGAATATATCGCCTTGATTGTTTTGGTTCGACTTACGGTCCACTTCAATTATGTGCTCAAGTTGGGTCCAAATAGCCCGAGGCGGGTCCCATCTGAACATCTCAACCACGCCACCTGCCTCGCATTTTCCTTGCTCAACCCGGCAAGAAGTCTGCTTAGATTTCTCGCCGCTTAGCCCCAGCGAAGAACCTCCTCCACCTAGCTATGACGTCCGTTGAAGCCGCATGAAGTGCGTTTCCATACGCTCCACCCTGGGCGTTGACGTCGGTGCCCTTGCTGAACAACAGAAGTCTGCCGGTGAGACCAAAACAGCATCATGCAGACCTCGCCTGGGGGTTTCGGCGTTCATTGGCTGCCCCATTTACTGGGATATACAGCGTATGGATGCGTCCGGTGAACTAGCGCGGAAATCAAGCCACAGATGGGATAGGTGGGATTAGAAGGGAGGAAGCCCTTTTCTAGACTAATTCTTACCAAGGCTGAGCTGGATCCGCTAAAAGCACGGCGGTACCGCAAGGCGTTACTTTCATGATTATCCCGCTTTTGCGGCTGACTTTTGTGGCTTGATATCCGCGCTAGTTCACCGGACGTATCCATACGCTGTAATGATACTGCATGGCGACGTGAAGCCCATTCTTGACCGGCTGAACGGGCTGAGTATGCGATGCGCCTTACCACCTACTCACAAGCAACTGGATCGCCTAGACAAGCTGAGTTCTACCTATATAAATACAGCTTCAAGCCTCGCTGTCATGGCCATCACATACTTTGTTGCTTTAGCTATCGATCAAATATAAGTTTTGTTGTCCCCGCTGGCTTCATAAGCCCCACCCACGATATCCACCGAGAGGGCTAAAACCTAGGACACTTATTTGACTACGATTTGCTTTCGGCATGTCTGATCAGAGTGCCAAAAGCCGGACAGATAAGGGCAAAGGAGACCATACGACAGTCGACATGCCTGATAAGCCCAAGCAAGAAAAGCATAAGAAAGAAAAGCATAAGAAAGAAAAGCATAAGAAAGAAAAGCCCAAGAAAGACAAGGCCGAGAAATGGAAATTCCATAGCAAGAAGAGTGCTAAGCCATCCGAAGACTATAAGAAAGTCAAGGTTATGCTTTTCACATTCGAGTTCAGCGAACTGAGCTTGAAAAACGAGACCAGAAATGTTACACGCGCTTTCGAGAGCCTGGGTTACGAAGTTCTTCTACGTCAAATAAAAATGGACAACGCCTTGGACAATGTTAAGGAGCAGCTGAAAGAATTCTTGAACCCCCAAAATGACACCTTGTTCATCGTTCACTACAATGGGCATGGGGGAATTACCGAGAACAACATGCTTTCTCTCGTTAGGTAAGTATCGTTCCCCGAGCCCTACCGTCATCGCCCATAGTCCGCTCCTTCTGACCTGATTTTCCTCTTCAAGCCACAATTACCCTGACAACGTAGAAGATCTGTGGCGGATGATCCACAGAAACTGGGGCAAACACGGGGACCAAGAGGGTCTCACTACAATACTCAGGAACGAAAAGTATGTAATTACCCAGAAAACACGATATGAACGTCTCAGAAACTTCACTAATGTGATTAAAGGGACCCCTTCCAACCAATCGCCGAGGTACACTGGTCAGATATCAGTCCAACTATCATGGACGCGGAATGCGACACGCTCGTCATCCTTGACTGTTGCAATGCAGGACTAGCCGCGGTTTCTAGCCAAAACGTGCACGCTTTGGACGGCGGCAAGAAGAGAAATGCGAAGTTGGACGAGTACGAAAAGGAAAATCCTTACCGAAAGGAACTGATTGGTGCATGCGGTTGGGACATCGACACACGAAACCACATGAGCTCAGCTTTGTTTAAGGTCATGAAAGTCGAGTTTCCAGCGCCCAGATTTTCCACGATGTCTACGCCTACTCTTGTTCGCCGGATGAACTACAGCCTAGTACAGCATATTGGAGAAAGAAGAAGTCCGCCTCAGGCTGTCCATTACATCCTTCAGCGGAACGGAAAGGACAAAATGACTCTCCCTCGACTTAATGGGCATATCGTGGACATCGACAGCAGTGACGACGGCTCCGATCCTGCTAACGAAGTTGAAGGCGATTCCGAATCTGCTGACGAACTTGAAGACAATCCTCGACATGGCCCTGGCGAATGATCGCGCTAGGAGCGAGACCTGGACGCTAAGAATGAGTCCGAATCGCACGAACTGGTTCCTACATGCTGAGCAAATATGAGAAGGACAATAACTCTTTTTTCTGTACTAAGGCCTGATCTCTGGACTACCGGGGTTTACATGTTCAAATGGTTTCATTTAGCGGGTCCTAATCTGAGACGGTAGAGGAGAGAGGGAATTGGGTAGAGTGGCTCCCGTGTGTAACTTATTGTCAAGTTGTGAGGTTAGGACGAGCCTTAACTCCAGTTTGGGAAGGCGCCCGGCGTGTTCCTGTATTACGGGTGAGGACTGGGAATACGCAGGGGGGGGAAAGCGATGATGAAAGGCCTAAGGCGCACTATACAGTGCGCGATTATAGATACCCGCACACTTTTCTACCACCACTTATGATGTCTTCTGATGGCTTAGAAATCTAGGGCGCCGAGTCACATTTCCAATATCGTGTTCATTCCTCTGCCGCTGCTTAAGGCGGCCTCACGAGTTTACCAGTTGTTCAAAGGCGGGACTTTTGGCCAACAGGATTTCTGACAATACCATGAGGCACCACAAGCGGTGAAGGAGCAGTGTGTGGATATCTGCTACAAGGCACAGCATCACAAAAGTACCAAGAGATAATTAGTTATATGGACATTCTCGTATCTGATCTTGCCATCTTCGATAGTGAAAACAGCGAACCGCAACACCTGCTCTGGCCATCTAAGAGATCATTCACGATGTTCTTGAGCACAGCTCCTTCTTTTGAGAGTCGTCTTTATTCTTCTCAAATATTAAAGAAGCTCTACAAGTTCTACACCTTCATTCTAGCATGTTCTGTGCTTTCCACAGTACGTCACAGCTCATCATCCAGCTTATTTGGATTGAGATTCTCCTTCCCCATGCCCAAGCGGCTTTGCTTCATCGCGTCCTGATACATATCATTATTCGCAAGCGCCATCCAATCGACTTGAGCCATCGAAACGTCGGCTCCAGGTGGTCGGTAATCGTTTGAGTTTCTAGAGGTTGGTGTGTAGTATGCCCCGTCCTGGAATATGCAGTCGGGATGGGGTACTGCCGGGGTCACGGCGGATTGACCATAGTTTACAGAAAACGAGCTCTGGAAGGAACCGTCTGTGTCATTCTCAAAATTGCACGGTGTAGTTGGTGCATCGGCCAGGACCTGGAAGTAGGGCGAGTTGTTGGTGCCCGGGCGGTGAGCTGATGTATGGCTAACTCCATAGCTGAAGTCCTGCTGTGCCAGTGGTGAGGCTGCAGCGCCGGCGTACGCCTGAGATTGCTGAATGAGGTCTTCGTAGACTGTACGGCCTCCATATCTAAAGTTTTGCTGCAGAGCTCTGGCTGCAGCACCCGTATGAGTCTCAGTCGAGCTATTGACGTTGTACTGCGGTGCCTGCGTGTAATTGATTCCAAAGCTGAGATCTTGCTGCAGCGGCTGGGTGGCCGCAGGGCTATTATAAACCTGCTTATGCTGTAGAGGGGTAGAGCTCCCAGCATTTGCCTCTCGCCCTTGTTTGTGTGGTTGCGTCGTCGCGGAAGCATTCCTCCTCTTTCGTGTAGCGGCTTTGATTGGGCGTGAGGTGGAATCTGTGGGTTGGTGCTTTGGCTGAACGAAACTCTGCGCAGGAGCGGTTGGTACAGTGTTGCCTATTGGAATACTAGTATGTCCTGGTACTCCGGAAGCAGAGATTGGACTTCGGAGTCTTGAATCTGGAGATGGGTCCAAAACCGCCACAGGCATCGCCGAGCCGTGAATATCCTGATTCTGGCGACTTTGTTGAGAGGCTGCAGTAGTCCTAGAGTTTACAGCCATTCCATTTCTAACGGCTCGCTCAAACATAGGCCTCGACGCTAGGTCCTTGGAACTGGACGGAGCCTGTTTCTGAACAACATTCTGAGAGCCCGACGCACCCCGCGAGGCAATTTTGTTAGCGGAAGTTTCCCGCACGTTCTCTTCCGCCTTAGAATCTGACTCGACTCTATAATCTTTATTCTTGCGTCGAAGCGCTTTCGGTGCCGTTGTTCTAGCGGCACCAGTGGCTTCATTGGCCGCCTTGGTGACCTGCGACCGCCGAAGGTTACTCGTTCGGGAGCTGACCTTAGCCTGTGGAATACTCGTTAGTGTGATCTGATACAAATTTGATCGTGAAAAAGTGGCACGCTCATCAAGCATTCTGCCTCGTGTGTACACCTGTCTGCCACTGCTTGAAGTGCTTCAACAAGTTTCCACGTAGCTCAAGATGAAGAGCTTCAGAGTTCTGGGAATGCATTGAGGCACCCCAAACAGTGACATGAAGCGCACGCTCACGGCAGCTTATCCTGAAATTAGAGTGCCACCTTTCCATCCCCCGCGTGATGAGGAAATGAGAGACTTACGCGACCGCATGCTGTTGGAGCATTGACAAATATTTTCATCATTTGGCTTCCAAAAGGAGACTTCATCAGATCGAAGCACACTTGCTTTTCCTCCTAAGTTTATGTTATTAATGGTCTCGTAAAGGCGTGGGAGTATGCTTACCTGGATGACGTTGATAATCTTCTTGAGTCGCTGCTTGCAAGTCAAAGACCTGTCCTTTTTCTCAACTTGGGTCGCTCGAGAGCGGATTGTGTAGTCCAAGTCCTTCTCTAGCTGGAAACCGTCGTTGCACAGCGAGAGGATCTCGTCTAGGATCTCATGACACACCGCCTCTATACGTTTTGTGTCGTAAGCAGCGTCTTGTACGAAGTTTTTATATGCTGCGCTTGTGACCTTTAGATCCCCCACGTCGGTGATATCGCGGAAGGCATCATATAATCGTAGAACCCATTTATCTCGATTCGACGCGACCTTGGCAATCGTCGCATCGGTCGATGGATCCATGTATGGCTTAGTTGTGATATGTGACAATCGCCACTGTCTCGCCTCGTCGGAGTTGTTGAACGTCTTGGTGAGGGGCGGATATTTTGGAGTGATATCAACCACTGTCGCTTCTGCTCCGTCTTGAATGGTCCCATCGGCGCCAAGATGCTGCAATTCTGTAGAATTTTGATCGACGTTGACACTCTCAGAGCTATTGAGGTTCTGATCTGCGTCAACGGGCTGAGATGCCTTAGCTAGCTGTGTGTTTACGTGACTATTTGAAGGCAGTGAACCCTCGATATGCTTATCTTGATTGCTAGCATTGGTGTCACCCCTTCCGATGGCATGTGAAGCTTCGGAACGTGGAACAGGAAGCTGCTTTGCGTTGGATTGTGTTGTAGTGGTACTAGCCAACCCGGCCTGGATTACTCCTCGGGCAGTGGTTGAGGGAAGCCGTGGAGCCTTCAATTCTGGCGGTCTCGTACCAGTAACCCCATCTCCATCGATCGCATCTGCTTTGCGTTTTGGCAACATAGCGCCAACTACCGAAGATATTCTGAGCGAATCTGAAGGGGGAAGTTTGATATGGTAAGTGTGGCGGTGTAGCGAACAGAACAGCAGGTAGTGGTGAGTGAAATGGTGCAACCGGGGGTCGGTGGTGAGTTGCGAGAATGTGGAGGGAAGATCGAGCCGCTAGGTCCCTAAATACAGGAGGATGCCGGCCCCCAGCTGCCTCGTGATCTAGTAGTTGGTGAATGTCCTGAGGGCGGCTTGCCGAAGATTCAGTTGGTATCAGGGAGATAGTGAAAGAGATAAAAGGCTTATATAAGTCATCTACCAGGACAGACTTGAAGAATTAGAATGAAAACGTCAACCCCATCAAAAATCCACTACAACACAATTCATGTTGGATGCTTGGGAAAGAGAGGGGAAGACACTGATCTGAAAGTACACGCCCAAAAGCTTATGGTGGTTTGACAATGAAAAGGAAAGATGGTGGTCAACGAAACATTGTGAAGTCATCTCTCGTTAAAGACGATGATGATCGATGGAAACGGTCAATAGTGCTCTCCATGATCCAATGATCGGGACGCAGCATATTTGAAAATGACAGCCGGCTTGCCATTTTAATGATGGTGAGTATCACTAAAGAAGAAATTTCCGTCCTCTCCATTTTTGCACATGTGGTTTCCGTTTTGAAAACCACCACCAAATCCCACCCAGAACATGATTCACGATAGAGCTCATATGACTAGAGCTCCAAACCGAACAACATCCATTCCGGCTCGATAGACCACATTTTGGCTAGCATAAAATGCAGCCAAGAACCTGCGCAAAGAAGACGGTAGAATAGTACAAACGTGAACTTAAATAGCGAGAAAATGAGCGTAGGAACCGGGGTGGAGATAATCCGAGTTTAGAACCTCGTGACGCCCGAGGGGTTGCCACGCTTACCGCCTTCTACTATCACGTGAAATGATACTAATTCTTTGTAGTTTGAAATAAGGATGAGAACGCGGAAGGGAAGCGGAAATGTAGGTACAAAAGTGTAAAATTAAGGAGGGAGTTTGTGTTCTATCTTCCCCCCTTAAGACTTCCCGTTCCCGAGTTCACGAGACTTCTGATAAATCGAAAAACTAAACGCTTGTTATAGTTATCCGAGCGGAGGTACAGGCTAGTTTGCCATTGATCAGAACGCATTTGCAGATGACCGGGGGAAATAGGGTTGATACTCGTCTTCCTCGAACTATGAGCCTATGCTGAGAACATGAGCTTCCCGCAGGAGAGATAGGGGACATTAATGAAATCGATGTGAGTGAGCCGGATGATTGAGCGCTATGCTGTGTTGCTTGCTGTAGGTGCCCAGGAGAGATGCACATTGCAAGTGTGGAACGAGGATCGCTTATTTGGACCGCATTTTACCTGTCACAATCCAGACAATGAGCATCAATCATAAGTCGGCTCTGCATTCCCAGCGTGTCTGATCCTCGTAGAGGCTTTAACGACATTGATAACATCGTTGTTCAGGTGAAGCTCTCCTTCTCTCTACGACGTCAAAACCCCAACGCCATGGTCCAAGCTCGAGCTTCCACAAAGCTCCAAACTCCTCACTACATCCCTCCCACAACCACCTCACCATCCCAACAACGACCATGACCGCTCTCCCAGGCCTCTCCCTCCCCGGCCTCTCCCTTGCCCCCGCTCTTGCCCCCTCCTCCACCGAGACCCGCACACAAGACCTGCCCGCCGGCAGCGAATACCGCTTCGAAGTCCCCTTCACTCGCACTTTGCGCCTCCGCCTCCTCAGTGGCACCGCCGAGCTCTTCGGCACCGAGCTCGCGCCCAACTCCAAAGATGCCTATACTCTATCCGGCACAAAGGGCGCTGTCTACACGTGGCACGGGTGCCGACTGGAGCTCGCAGGCGAGCCTGAGAGCGAGTATGTCGCCGAAGAGACGCAGATGACGAGCTATGCGAACTTGCACTTTGCGCTGGAGAACGCACGGGAGAAGGCAGAGACACAGAAAGAGATTGGGCCCCGGGTGCTGGTGGTGGGGCCAGAGAACGCGGGGAAAACGAGTCTGTGCAAGATCTTGACGGCGTATGCGACCAAGAGCGGACGGCAGCCAGTGGTGGTGAATTTGGATCCCAGGCAGGGATTGTTGAGCATTCCTGGTGCGCTGACGGCGACGACGTTTGCGAGTGTGCTGGATGTGGAGGAGGCCGGGGGTTGGGGGAGTAGTCCCATTTCTGGACCCAGTGCGGTGCCGGTCAAGATGCCGCTGGTGTATCAGTATGGGCTGGGCAGTCCGGAGGAGGGGAAGACATTCAGGCCATTAGTAACCAGGATAGCGCTCGCCGTGACGAGTAGGCTGGAGGAGGATGAGCAGGCGAGAGCGAGCGGGTGTATCATTGATACCGCTGGCGCGAGCAGTCATGGGAAGGGAGGGGTATATGAGAATATTACACATATAATATCGGAGTTTTCTGGTACGTTTGCGATGCTGTTGGATATCCATAGTTCCGTGATATCCCGTCAAATCGACCAATGCTGACCATACCACAGTCAACGTCCTCCTCGTCCTAGGCTCCGAACGCCTCTACTCCGACCTCTCCCGTAAATTCTCCAACCGTCCCTCCGAAGATCTCATCTCCGTCATCAAGCTCGATAAATCCGGTGGCTGCGTCGACCGCGAGGAGGCCTACATGCAACAGCTCCGCCAATCCCAAATCCGCTCCTACTTCTTCGGCCAGGGCTCCAACAACCTAAGCCCGCACACGCACTGGGCCAGCTACAGCAGCATTAAAATCCTCAAGATCAACGATGCCAGCGCGGGCGTTGGTTCTTCGTTCCTCCCTGGTGATGACGACGACGACGTGTATGGGTCGACAACGGCGCCGATATACGAGACCGTAGCGCCGTCGCCTGCGATCCTGAACTGTCTACTTGCTGTTACGAATGCGAGCATGACGGACAGACATGAGGCGATCAGGGACTCGAGCATCAAGGGATACATCTATGTCGCAGATGTGGATGACACGAAGGAGAAGGTGAGGCTACTGGCACCGTTAAGTGGAGCCATACCGACGACGGCAATGGTTATGGGGACGTTTCCGGAGGATGTATCGGGATTGGTTGGCTAGACTTATTCATTATACCCCCGTATCTCTCTTTCTAATCTTCAAGAAGGGTGGGTAAAAGCGATGTACTGGCGGAAGGGGCAGCCAGATGGGAACTTTGGACATTCAAAAGTGGTATCTGGCAATGTACTTCTATCAGCGCTCAAATAGGTTCAGAGACTAGGAGATTTTTATAACATTGCAATCTCAGCATTGACCTTGCCGAGCAGCTCTACCAAGACCTTCAGTGTGTTACTAATCCCCTGCAGAGCGTTCTCATCCCGCCCCAGGCCAGGCGTCCACGTCGCATGCGCAAAATCGATCATCTTGACCGACACAAGCTTCGGCAGCTCCTCCTCTTCATCGTCATCATCCTCCTCATCTTCCACCTCCGCCTCCACCCCCTTTTTCGCCGGCACCTTCTTCAACAGGTCCTCCTTCTCACCAAACGCCCCCGCATCGCCCTCAAAGACCAGTAAAATACTCGCCGAGTACATTCGACTCTCCTTCCTCCTGAAGATATCCCTAACCTCTCTCACCCCATCCACAAACTCTACGAGTACCCGCCTCGCTCGCTCAAGCTCCCGCCTGCCCTTCTTAGTCCCCGGCGGGAGCACGTACGCCTCGAAACCCTCCACCACATTCCACGCCTTGAACTTGCGCCCGTACATTTTGTTGTACACCGTGTAGCCCGTCTCTTCTTCCACCTCCGCGAAGCTCTTCAGGTCTTCGGCGAGTGGGGAAGGAACAGCGCTCCACGTCCGCATTCCAGCGATCCGGAAGCCGAGAGAGGAAGAGGTGGTTTCCTTGGACACCTTGTCCAACCGCGCTCGCTTCTCAGGTTTCGCGCCCTCGTCCCACAGCTGCGCGCCTAGTTTCAGGTCAAGGATATTCGGCTTCGAGAAACCCGCGGCTGTGTTCTCGAGCACGATCGAGAGCTCTGTTTCGAGCTTCTTCCCGTGCAGTCGTTCTAGCGCGCCGTCTGCGGTTTGGATCATCCCCTCGGCCAGATCCTCTGTCGAGGCCTCGGCGGTGGCGGCGGGGTTGAGCGAGAGCGTGCCCATATAGGTGGGTACGTAGGCTGCGAGGTCGGGATGCGAGGTGGTGACGGATTCGTAGAAGGCGATTTCCGCAGGGGTGCAGGGTTTTATGACGAGCGCGCCTGTGGGGTCGGAGAGGACGCCGTCGCTGAGGATGTATTAGCTTATGTGTGCTTTTTGTTGAGGTATGGGACCGTGCAGGGGTGGAGGAAGAACGTACTGGCCCGCAGCGACGTTGCCGAAGGCTGTGAGGGTTGAGGGATCCAGGGTTTGGTTGGACATGGTGGGCGGCAAACAATTGAGGCCGATCTGAGGTTGTTGGTGTTGTAGATGTGGAAAAGGTGTGAGGTGGAGCTGACGGTTTATATAGGGCTGATATCCCTGCTGTTCCTGAGTACGCACGCGAGTCAGCCGGTGGGACAAAGGTTGCCAGGTTGCCTCAATTGCCTGCAGTGCGACCGTGCTCAAATCCAATGTCAACCTCACTTGATGCCTCCTCCATCTACAACTCCGCTGCCTCATCAAGGCAACCCTCAAAGATTGCAAACTGATCTCATCAGACAGGGGACACGTTAGTCACTCTATAACTCAAAATCCAAGCATGTCTCTCGAGTAAGTCCCATGATGTGGCCACCAAGCGGAGGGCCTCGTGTTCGTCAAGCATGCAGCACTGAAACCCCTTCGAACCCGAGATAATGATCGGTATGCATATAGGCAAGTAGCTACTCGGATGGTGGTGAGGCTTGTACATGTACAATTCTATATTACTTTACGTTCTTTTCCCACTTCTTCTACTTTCACCCCGGCATCAGTTTCTGTTCGCCCGTCTTCATTGCCCACCAGGGCTCGTCGTCACTACATTCCCTCCCTTGCCGGTACCTGTCGATTGGCTTCCTCCTGTGACTATCTGTGATGGTGTAGATCATGCGACCAACAATCTCTACTGTCAGGCCGGCTAGGCTCTAGCATTCTCCTAAATTATCAGCTAGAGCACCTATGCGGCATTGGCCTTCTTTAAGGGCGCTGCTAAATGTACACCCTATATTTACTCGGTGTACACCCCTTTTCTACTCCGTATACACCCTTCTTACGTCT